ATTGTAAGAATATATACATACATATAAAACACAAAATACATGTTAATAGACAGCTTACGGTCAACAGTAGGTTAAGTTTCGGGGAAGTCAAAAGTCATATTCAGATATTTGACTGGCCATGAGGGCAGGGGATTGTGGCTTCTAACTCCTGAATTGTTCAAGGGTCAACTGCAATTCAATTGGGCAATCAATTTAGACATTTTGGCTGGTTTCCTTGCAGTTTATTTTCCCTCTAAGAGCAATTTAGTCTAAAGTCAAAATTTTAAACTTTTTAAGCTCCATAAAAAATAACCTATAGTTTTTCACTATACTCTATTTAAAATGAAGCATGGTACAGGTGAAATACCATGAGCTACTAAATCATCAAACACAAGCTAAAATTAAGATTTTGTCACTAGTCAATTGATTTTAAAAATCTCATTTAGCTTTAGTATTTCCCTTATAAAGTCTGGATAATGCCAGCTGCCTCATGTTTTTACTGCCAGGATTAAAATGTACAAAAGCAGCATACATTGAGCTTAATAAAAATACATATTAGCTGCTTTCTATTATTACTCATAACTTTTCAGGTAGAAGCTAATTTCTAAAAATGAAAGGTGGAAAGTAGCAAAATTAAGATTAAAAAAAGAGATGAAACAAAGGTTACTTATATATATAAGGCTAGAAAATCTGCACAAAAACATGCATAAAGAAACAGAGGCAGCCAAATCCAGTTTGGCTCAGTGGATAGAGCTTCGGTCTGCGGTCTGAAAGGTCCCAGGTTCGATTCTGAGCATGTTCGATTAAGGGCATGTACATTGGTTGCAGGCACATCACTGCTGGGAGGTGTGCAGGAGGCAGCTGGTTGATGTTTCTCTCTCATTGATGTTTCTAGCTCTCTATCCCTCTCCCTTCCTCTCTGTAAAAAAATCAATAAAATATATTTTAAAAACAAATAAAAAAGAAAAAGAAAGAAACTGAGGCAAAAGAGACTTCAGCATTTCTGAAATGTCATAAAGCACTTTACTGGTATATTACTTCTGATAATAAACAAGCTATTTTTAAAAAGTCTTAATATTTAAAATTTTTAAAAATAGTATGGATGTATGTAAGTTCTGTAGTTTTTGCAAGCTAACTTAGTAATAGATTTCAACAGAAATAGAAGGCAAACTTCTTTTAAATTATTATAGATTACTAGAGGTCCAGCCAGCTGATAGAGCCAGGATGGCCGGGGGAGGAGACGTGGGAGGTTGGCAGGGCTGCCCTGCCCCTGATTGGGGTGAGGGGGTAATGAGGGCAGGGCCAGCTGGGGGGGATGGGCCACGGGCCCCCTGGTGGAACTCCAGGTAGCAGGGACAATTTGCATATTAGCCTTTTATTATATAAGGATTCTTTTCATTGCTTTATAATAATTACATATGCTTATATTTAAGCTTGGGAACAAGTTTTACCTACAACCTAGTGAAAGGTGTCTCTAGACTTAAACAAATTGCTTTAATGTCCTGGTATGCTTTACTAAATTCTAAGTTTTATGGCAATAGATATGATTTGGAGAGCAGTGGGGTAAGACTACCTTGGATTAGAAGGTAAAAGACCTGGTTTATATCTGTAGCTCTGACATCTGATAGGAGTGTGACCCTGGACAAATTATAAACTTTGAGTCTCAGTTTTTTTATCACTAAAATAGGGATTACGTCTGTCTTGCTGTCATAAGGATCCAGTGTCAATGTAACAACCCAAGATTCAAATACTGGCTGTTTTTAGACAGGAGAGCTAGGTAGCTAGGAGCAGGACTTCTATTGTATTCCCTTTTATATCCTAGAAGGTTTGTAAACGTGCAAGTATTATTTACCCCCAAAATAAATTTAAAAGGCTGGTGAGCCCGGTCGGTCTGACTCCATAGTTGAGTGTCGACCTATGACTAATCAGGGCCCAGATCCAAGTTGTGGGCTCGATTCCCAGTGGGGGGGCATACAGGAGGCAGCCCATGAATCAATGATTCTCTATCATCATTGATGTTTCTCTCTCTCTCTCTGAAATCAATAAAAAAACATGTTAAAAATAAATTAAAAAGACTGGTGAGTTTTAGCGTACATTCAGATATATAAAAATCTTCAGATTTCTAAATTCCCTTCAATGTCTTTTCCCCCTCCCCTTAAATATATTTCTATTGATTTCAGAGAGGAAAGGAGAGGGAGAGAGATAGAAACATCAATGATAAGAGAGAACCACCGACTGGCTGCCTCCTGCAAACCCCCTAAGGGGTATTGAGCCCACAACCCAGGCATGTGCCCCTGACTGGAATCGAACCTGGGACCCTTCAGTCTACAGGCCCATGCCCTATCCACAGAGCCAAACCAGCCAGGGCCCTTCAATGTTATTTTTTCAATTATTATTATACTCTCTTTCACAGGATCAATGACTTTTATATAAAGTACATATTTTGTTGAAAAGGTATATTTAAAATCCCTTCCATAAGGTAATACTAATATTCCTCTCGGATAAACTGACTCTAACACTGTAATACTGTTATTTATGTGGGTAATACCACCATCAGTCAAATGGTAATATATTCATGTTTTCTCTTCCTATTGCCCTTGAGACCAAAAATTTTTGTGAGCCTAAGGGTACTATGAATGGTCACAGCAGAACAAAGCTAAATAACTTCACTGCAATAGAATCTGACCTTGGCATCATTTTCAATGAGTTCATTCAGCTACTCACTTCTGGGAGACATGCACTATTAAAGATAAACGCAGTTATTTGGAAAATTTTGATAGCTACATCAGTGACAGACAACTACATTGATTTCTTTTTTAAAAGCCATGTGAACTTAAATAACCAGAAATCTTGCTAACATTTAAGTTACACAAATTTCATTATTGTACTATAATCTTGTACATATTTGAATGTCTGCTTTCCTCAGAAAGACCATGAACTCACTGAAGACATTAAAATTTGCAGGCATTTGCCAAGACTGGTTTGGCTCAATGGATAGAGCATCAGCTTGGGGACTGAAGGGTCCCAGGTTCGATTCCAGTCAAGGGCATGTACCTTGGTTGCGGGCATATCCCCAGTAGGGGGTGTGCAAGAGGCAGCTGATCGATGACTCTCTCTCATCGATGTTTCTAACTCTCTATCTCTCTCCCTTACTCTCTGTACAAAATCAATAAAAATATATTTAAAAAAAAAAAAAAAAAAAAAAAATTTGCAGGCATTTGACTGAAACAGAAATGTAAAAACACACTAGCAAAAACAAGATTACATCCTTTAATATTTGAAAAATTTTAGAGGATAATGACTTTAACTTCATTTTATTTTATTTATTTAATTATTTTATTGATTTTTTTTTTTTTTTTTACAGAGAGGAAGGGAGAGGAATAGAGAGTTAGAAACATCGATAAGAGAGAAGCATCGACCAGCTGCCTCCTGCACACCCCCTACCTGGGATGTGCCCACAACCAATGTACATGCCCTTGACCGGAATCGAACCCGGGACCTTCAGTCCCCAGACCGACACTCTATCCGCTGAGCCAAACCGCTTTTGGCCCAACTCCATTTTAAATGAAACCATCAAATGCTCACCCAATACACATTAATAATAATTAGTTTTATACATCCATGAATGTCTCCTATATACTTTAGCAGTTTGGTGGAGAGAGGTATCATTTACATTTTGGGGATGAGAAGCCTGACAATCTGGAGAAGTAAGGAGTGTATTCAGGGTTTAATCAAAATTAAAGCACAAGCTCTTTTCATACGTGTGAAATTTGTAAGGGAAAATTTTTTTTTTTTTATCCTATGAATCAAATGCCTTGATTGCTAAGCAAAGCGAAATGACGGAATGTGGACAGCATTCATATTTTTAAAGTCAAATGGTATTACAGACATCATAGGGCGTTTCATAGCTATAATTCTCATTCCAATTTCCAAATTCTTCTTATGCTGAGCTCTGAATTGTACTACACTGAAATCCCATGATGATTTATTCAGTATTGAGATGAACAATGTCGGAGTTCAGCTTGACCCTTACTGTCTATCCAATGATAATTGGATAAAAATAAATAAATAAAACACCACTTTATAAGTCAGTCTATCTAAAAAACTCAGATGAATTGTCTCAGGTACCTTTCACTTGGGAATTCAACAATAGGTTGGTTCATTTCCCACAAATCCCAAGTTCTTTTTCAGCCAATCACTCTTCCTCTTCATTCACACACCAAACCTCAGTACCTAGCAAGCCTATTTGGAGCCTCAGTACTCAAAACAGCCCTTCACACAATGGCACCACAATCAGAACAATACCACGGTGTCTCAACTCTGTTTGAAGATGAAACCAGATAGAAGAACAATAGAGAGATTTCTACAACAGAAAAACGTCTCCATTATGCCATCAAGAATGTATAACTGAGGATGTGTTGGGGAACACACACACACACACACACACACACACACACACACTCACTCTCACTTTGTGAAGGTTTTCATCAGAGACCGGTCTACTAATATGGAGAATTAAGACACAAGCAAAACATAAACTTAATCACCAAGACCTTAGCAAAGAGGAAAAGGACGGCAGTATTCAACAATATACTTTAGTTCTAGCTCTTCCTTTAGATCCAAATGCGCACCTCAGTGAACTTTAAGTGGGGTCTGAACAGGGAAACCCAACTTTCTTCTTCAGGGACATACCGGGAGTCCCCAAGATTACGCGTTAATGTACTTGCCATTACCTTCAGGGACCGAAAACTGAGATTAAAATTTCCCTCCTTCCTTTCTCTATAAAAACGACAAGGTGAGGCGAGGGTGCGAAGGATGCCAAGACGAAAGGCTTGCAAAAGGTCTCGCCTTCCTCTTTTCTAGAGAAGATGCCTCAAAGATGCCATTGCTCCAGCCGGGCGCCCAGGGCTGGACCCGGTCAGGGTCGCGCAAGTGGTCGCACGTGGAGAAGAGCCTGAAAGGTAGGAGCAGACGGACCCCAATCCCCGAGGCCAGGCAGCAACCACCCTGCCCCCACTCACCGCTCCGAGCGCAGTTTCATTGGGGCTGTCCGAGGAACAGCCGCCATCACCATCGCCATCAGTCTGGGTGCTCGCTGAGGTGGAGAAGGGAGGCCCAGCCGCTCCTGCACCTCATGCAGGTCTCCCGAAGCGGCTGCCTTTCCTGCGAGCTCCCACCTCCCGGCGCCCGGTTCCCGTCTCTTGCGTCGCGGTCGCCGCCTCCGTCGGCTCCCCAGCGGCCACCCCCCACTTCCGCGTTGGGCTCCCTCCCGGTCTTCCTTCCTCACGCCCCCGGCGGCCGGCTTTTTCCTAGCAGTGACGTCACCAGCCCGCGACCTCCAGTCGGGCTGAGCGCCGGGCGAGGGCGGGCCGGCGCAGGCGCAGTGCGGCGCGCGCGCCTGAGCGCGGGAAGCGTCCGGGCGCCGGTGGTTGCCTCTGGTTTCTCCAGTCCGTGAGGCTCAGGCGCCTTGGTGAGTCCTTCCTCTCGCTACTCGCGCCAGAGAGGAGAGTGTCCTCTTCCAGGATTACTGTCTGGCAGGCCCTCCATTTGTATTTGTATTTTTTTCTGTTGGTGCCACTCGGGTTGGGGGAAAGGGGCTGCCGAGAGCACGCCCGTGGGGAGGCTAACCAACTCCCTTCTTCCCCAGCTCCCCGCTTTTTCTCCTTTAAAATAACACTAGATTTTATGAAACATTTCCAGGGAAGGGAAGGACAAGATGCCTGCCACACAGAAGCCGATGAGATACGGACATACGGAGGGACACACGGATGTCTGTTTTGACGATTCTGGGAGGTAAAGTACTTTGGGAAGCAAAAAACCCGTTTCAGGTGTAAATGTTAGAACGTTTATCCTTAGGTGTCCTATAAGCAGTCAGCCTAACACGACTCGTATAAATAGAGAGAAATAAGGTTGAAATATAGAATGGCACTCATATTTTCCTTAGATTTATTATTCTATATGGACTGTCTTGGTAGTTTAAGGATATAAGGAAAAGCCAATGAGTGTAAAATCTTGCTTCTAGGGGAGTTGGAAAGATGTGAGCTTTCCTCTGTATTTTACCTTTGTTCAATTCCTCTCAGCATCTCACATCACTGGTTATTTTGTCAGATTGGTAGGTGCCCAGTTGTCACATTCAGTGGCCCTTTCTATCTTTTTTGTATTCTGTCCTCCCTTGGCTTTGGTAATGCTATTTCCTTTTTTTGTTGTTTTAAACTTTCTGATGACCTCCCCCCCCCCCCCCCCAATTTATTTCCTCTGCTTAGTCCCTACGGTGATATTTTCCCAGGGTTATTCTGGTCCCACCCCCACCTTCTTGTTTTAAATCTTCACACCCTTGGTTTTCATTGATTTTTAAAGAGAGAGGAAGGGAGGTAGGGACTGAGGGAGGGAAGAAGAGAGTGACAGGGAAAGGGGGTGGGGTGGGACTCGAACCCACAACCTAGGTATGTGCTCTGATCAGAAATCTAACCTGCAACCTTTTGGTGTAAGGAGGACCCCTCAACGAACTGAGCCACCTGTCCAGGACTACTGTCCCTTTTATCTTTCTAAATCTCATTCCTATGCAGCACTGTCTAATTCTGTGGCTTCCTCGGTCATGTCTATGTTGATTTTTTTTCATTGAAAAAATGTTTATATGGCTATTCCACTGAGAGCTAGAGATACAATAATGTTAACAAAGTACAATCGTTTCTTTTTTAATTTTTTTAAAATATATTTTATTGATTTTTTTCACAGAGAGGAAGGGAAAGGAATAGAGAGCTAGAAACATCGATGAGAGAGAAACATCAACCAGCTGCCTCCTACACACACCCCCCGCAACCAATGTACATGCCCTGAACCGGAATCGAACCCGGGATCTTTTAGTCCGCAGACCGAAGCTCTACCACTGAGCCAAACCGGTTTCAGCAATCGTTTCCTTCATTGACTTTAAGGTCTTTTCAGATTGACACTGAGCACAAATTAATCACATAAAATAAATGTACATTGAAGAATTACACTTAGAAGTATTAAATGATATGTGCAATGATAAGCCTAAATGAAGGAGAATTGATCTAGTTTGAAGAGGCAGGGAAGGCTTCTCTGAGGAAGTATTTCTTTTTGTTTATTTAAATTGATATTTGAGAGAGAGATAGGGAGAAACGTTGATTTGTTGTTACACTTACGATTTCCTTTTTTGATAATTACTAGAATATGTGCCCTGACCAGGGATTGAAACTGCAACCTTGGTCTATTTGGGTGATGCTCTAACATGAGGAAGTGTTTAAAAAAAAAAAAAAAAAAAAAAAAAAAAAAAATATATATATATATATATATATATATATATATATATATATATATATATATAATTGATTTTTTACAGAGAGGAAGAGAGAGGGATAGAGAGCTAGAAACATTGATGAGAGAAACATCAATCAGCTGCCTCTTGCACACCCCCCACTGGGGATGTGCCGGCAACCAAGGTACATTCCCTTGACCAGAATCGAACCTGGGACCTTTCAGTCCACAGGCTGACGCTCTATCCACTGAGCCAAACCGGTTTCGGCAAGGAAGCGTTTGTTGAGATGAGATCTGAAGACAGTAGTAATTAAAAAGTATAAAGAGATAGGTGGTGGCAGGGGGGGGTGGTGTTGGCCAAGGAAGGGGGAACACCATGTGTGAAGGCCCCGTGGGAATAAGGACTGTGCTCAAAGAACTGAAGGAAAGCTAGTGATGCTCAAAGTGGATAGTGTTGCAGAGATTGACATGAGATGAATGTGTGAAGGTAGGCATCCTATCCAACGCCTTTTTTGGGCTTTATTAAGGAATCCTGACTTCCCATGGTAGGAAGGTACTAAAGATTTGAAGCAGAGAGGAGATATGATCAGACTCTTTGTTTTGTTGTTGTTAATCCTCATCAGTGGATGGGGATATATAGATGTATATACCCTGTTTCCCCGAAAATAAGACAGTGTCATATTAATTTTTGCTCCCAAAGATGCGCTAGGTCTTATTTTCAGGGGATGTCTTATTTTTCCATGAAGAAGAATACGGTACACATTTATTGTTAAATGAAAATAAAGGAAATTTATTACCTGTATACGGGGCAGTAGTACGGTAGTTGTCAACACAAACCAGACAAACTGAATCCTACAGTATCAATTATTTACTCATTTATTCAATGACAATCCTGTCATCATCTTCTGGAACATCATCATCACAATCCAGTTCCTAAATTTCCTGGTGAATTTCTTGTGACTCCATTTCTTTCAGAATCAGTGGACCAAATCTCTCATGTTTAGCAATAGCACTGTCTTTAAATGAGTAACATCACTGATTGCTAGAAGCCAATCGGGGCGGCCCTAGCGACCTGTTTACGTTAAAATAATTTTCAGCCGGGACTGGTTTGGCTCAGTGGATAGAGCGTCGGCCTGCGGACTGAAAGGTCCCGGGTTCGATTCCGGTCAAGGGCATATACCTTGGTTGCAGGCAAATCTCCAGGAGGGGGTGTGCAAGAGGCAGCTGATCAATGATTCTCTCTCATCGATGTTTCTAACTCTCTATCCCTCTCTCTTCCTCTCTGTGAAAAATCAATAAAATATATTAAAAAAATTAATTTTCATTCTGAGACAGAGCCTAGGGGGGCCTTAATTTCGGAGGGATGCCTTATATTTCAGTCAGAAGGAAACCTGTAAGTAGGTCTTATTTTCGGAGGATGTCTTATTTTCGGGGAAACACAGTACATATATGTTATGTTTTATTGCTTTTTTTACAGAGAGGAAGGGAGAGGGATAGAGTTAGAAACATTGATGAGAGAGAAACACTGATCAGCTGCCTCCTGCACACCTCCTACTGGGAATGTGACCCAATCAAGGTACATGCCCTTGACCGGAATCGAACCTGGGACCCTTCAGTCCACAGGCCGACGCTCTATCCGCTGAGCCAAACCGGTTAGGGCAAAGGATATTTTTTCCATTGATTTTTAGAGAGAGAGGAGCAGTGGGGGAAGGACAGAGAGAAACATCAGTGTTAGAGGAACACATAGATTGGTTGCCTCCCTCATGAGTCCTGACCAGGGCCAGGGATCAAGCCTGCAATCAAGGTACAGACCCTTGACCAGAATTGAATCTGGAACCCTTCAGTCTGTGGGTTGATGCTTTATCCTCTGAGCCAAACCAGCTAGGGCCAGACTCTTGTTTTTCAGAGGATGCAGAGAGACTATTGGAAGGTATCTGTCTTAGTCTGGTTCACGTAATGGAAGCTCATATCTATGGGTATGTAGAAAACAGAATACATTTAGGAATTCTTTAAAAAGGGAAAGCAACCCTAGTTGGTTTGGTTCTGTGGATAGAGCACATTGGTCTGGGGACTGAAGAGTCCTGGGTTCAATTCCAGTCAAGGGCACATGCCTGGGTTGTGGACTCAATCTCCAGTAAAGAGCCTGCAACTGATTGATGATTCTCTCTCATCATTGATGTTTCCATCTCCCCCTCTCCCTTCCTCTCTGAAATCAATAAAAATATATTTTTAAAAAGGGTGAAATCAACAGGATGGATTGGATATTAAGAATAAAGAAAAGGGAGGTGTCTAGAATAACATCTGCGATTCTAGATGGGGAAGTAATGGTGCTATTCAGATGTTTAAAAAGCTTGGAGAGGAGCATAGTTCAGAGGTAGAATGGGGGTGGAGATTAAGTTTGCTTTTGAACATGATTTAGTGTAGGGTGTCTTTGAGATATTCAATGAGAGCAGTAGACAGCTGAGTAAATGTCTAAATCTCAGAGAAGAATTGTGAACTAGAGATAGAAATCTACATCGTTAGCTGATGCCTTCTGGAATTCAGGATTGAGGTCTTGACTGGCAATCTAAATGTGGGAGTTGTCAATATAGAGATTGTATTTAATGGTATGAACTTGGATGACATCACCTAGGGAAGGGATTAATGTAATTAAGAAAAAAGATTCAAGAGCTAAGCCCTGGAACAATTAAAAATATTTAGAGATCAAGAAGGGCTGGCAAGGAAAATAGAAAACCAAGATATAAGAATGATGTCTAGAAGCCAATTAAAGTAAGCATTTTGTGAAGGAAATAAACTATGTTAAATATTGCCTGTGGGTCAAATTCAGGACTATGAATTCACCATTAGCTTTAGTGACATGGATGATCTTGAGCTTTTTTATGGAATGGTAAGAATGAAAACCTTGCCCTGGCCAGCTAGCTCAGTTGATTAGAGTGTCATCCTGATACTTCAAGATTGTGGGTTTGATCTCCAGTTAGGGCACATACAAGAAGCAATTAGTGAATGCATAAATAAGTGAAACAACAAAATTGGTGTCTCTTTCTCTCTTCCTCTCTCCTTACCACCATTCTTCTTTCTCTCTCATAAATCAATAAAAAAGAAAAGAAAACCTTGTTGCAGTAGAATCAAGAGAATGGAAAGGGAAGATTTGGATTTAGTGACTGTGACACTCAAAGAATGAGAGTAATTGGGTAGGAAGGTGGGGTCAGGAAAGATTTTTGTTTTGTTATAAAGTGAGAAAGATTACATCATATATATGAGTGGAGATGATCCAATAGAGAGGGATAACTTGATTTCATAGCAGAAAGGGGAAGAATTGCTGGAGTGATGTTCTGATTAGGTGTGGGGCATTATATCGGGTACAAGAGGGAGAGATTGGCCAGATGTAGATCAAATCTATATGTGGAGGGAAGGGGCTTCTATAAGGGATGGGAAGAACATGTGGACAATTTCTATAGATTGCTTCTGTTTTCTCAGTGAATAGGACATGAAGTCATCAGTTGAAAGTGGGAAGGAGGTAGAGGTTTGAAACAAGAGAAATAGATATGAGAGACATAGTTAGAAGAGATGGAAAATTGAATGAACCAGGGAATATAGTTGGATTGCTGTGCAGCACTAAAGGCCTACTTCAGGTTAATGATCATAAATTTAAATCGAGACATATACTCGGTTGTTTATTTCAGCCTTATTTAGCTTTACAAGTGCAAATTTATTTTAATAGGCAGAGAGGTTATCCTAAATAGAATGACCCCAATCTACATTTTCTGTCTATTTCCTAGACTGTCTAGGCAGGCGTCTTCAAACTACAGCCCGCGGGCCACATGCGGCCCGCAGAGGAGTCTGATCCGGCCCGCCAGGTTTTTTGGGCAGTGAGCGCAGCCGAGGTGTTACAGTAGGAATTAGTAGTTCATATAGTCCGGCCCTCCAGCTCTCTGAGGGACCGTGATCTGGCCCCCACTTTAAAAAGTTTGAGGACGCCTGGTCTAGGGAAATTCCCACAAGCTTTACTAACTTCCTATTTCATGTGTTTTATCTATTTGAAACTGCTCTTTTTACCAGTGTCAGCATATCCTGCTTGTCCTTTGACTTCCCAGTGTTAAATATCACCCTTCTGATTTTCCAAGTGGAAATTAATCTTTTTCTTCTGAATATTCACAGTTCTTTTATGGCTCCTCTTTGCCATTTTTCATGTTATTTTTATATTTCATTGGCTTTTGTATGTGTAGATAGGACATATACTGGATGAATAAAAGCACTTGCAAGACAATATGTAAAACTAGAGGCCCGGTGCATGAATTCATGCACTTGGAGGGGGTTGTCCTCAGCCTGGCTTGGAGTCTGGGAGCCCTTGGGGATCTGACTACCACAGAGGTGGGAGAAGCTCCCGCCACCACCGCTGCACTCACCAGCCATGAGCCCAGCTTCTGGTACACTGAACACCAGGAGGCCGCTCCTGCATTGAGCATCTGCGCCCTGGTGGTCACTACTCATCATAGTGACCAGTCGTTCTGCTCTTCGGTCAATTTGCATATTAGCCTTTTATTTTATAGGATAAGATTTGAGAGCTGTAGGTAGTCATTTGCATAATCAGTTTGGGATAATTTAACTCTTTCATCCATTTATTCATTCCACAAACATTTATCAAAGTTCCTATATAATAGACTGCTTTGTGCTAAAGACACAATGGTTAGCACGGGAGACCTGGTCTCTGCTGTTATAGAGATTATACCATCTTTCTTACATTATTACAAATAAAGACTTATGCCAAGGAGGAACTAAAGAGAACATTAAACTCACCTTTTTCTTTACAGAATAGGAGATTAATAGTCTTTGTTATTGAGGCTTATGAATGTAAAATGAGAAAACCTACTGTGTTTCCCCAAAAATAAAACATCCTCCGAAAACAAGACCTATTTACAGGTTTCCTTCTGAGTGAAATATAAGGCATCCCCCCGAAAATAAGGCCCCCCTAGGCTAAACATGAGAGATTTGGTCCATTGATTCTGAAAGAAATGGAGTCACAAAAAATTGACGAGGAAATTCAGGAATTGGATTGTTATGATGATGTTCCAGAAGATGATGACATGATTGTCATTGAATAAATGAGTAAATTCTTGATACTGTAGGATTCACAGTTTGTCTGGTTTGTGTTGACAACTACCGTACTACTGCACCGTATACAGGTAATAAATTTCCTTTATTTTCATTTAACAATAAATGTGTACTGTGTTCTTCTTCATGGAAAAATAAGACATCCTCTGAAAATAAGACCTAGCACATCTTTGGGAGCAAAAATTAATATAAGACACTGTCTTATTTTCGGGGAAACAGGGTATTATCTAATATCTTGATTTTATTTAAAAAAAAAAAAATCCCACCTAAGTAGCATTCTAAAAAAATTGGCCTGAAAAGGGGTGACTTTTTTTAATGAGTGTGTTTCCTTCACAGTTGTATTGTGACTTGTGGAAGTGATGGTGATGTGAGGATTTGGGAAGACTTGGATGATGATGATCCTAAGTCCATTAATGTTGGAGAAAAGGCATATTCATGTGCTTTGAAGGTATTAAAAACAATTACAGCAACTATTTTTAATTACTTGTTATAATGTAGGCATTATATTCAACTTGTAATTCAACCAGTAATTCAACTTGATAAATGTATAATTACAGTTCAAATTTGAAATATCTGTACTGTTATTCAAACAGATATATGCATTCTCCCAAATTTTGCTTTTTGGTAACATGTCATTGTTATCATCAAGTTCAATTTCCACTGGAGTGGAAGCAGGTGCTGTAGGTAGGCTAAGGGTCCTAAATGTGCAAATGTGGCTGAGATTTATTGCTATATGATAGAGTATATTTGTTAAACTTAAATAGTTTGTTTCTCTTAATGGTTATTATTTAATGGAAATTAATAAATTGACCATATAATTAATAAAAACTTCTATTGGGTTGGTAAGCTATGATTTAGTATGTTGAGACTTAATCTCTCTTTTTGAAAAGTACCGTAATCAAACTATAGTACTAAGGCAGATCCTTAACCTTTTATGACTCTTAGTTAAAAACTGCAAAACAGTGGTATCAGTTGATCATATAGGAGCCTGAAATTTTCTGTGTACTTAGTTGTTTTCTTTTTTGTTAATCCTCACTTGAGGATATTTTTAGAGAGTGTGAAAGGGAAGGGGAGAGACACAGAGAGAAAAACATCAATGTGAGAGAGACACATTGATTAGTTGCCTCCCAAACATGCCCAGCAGGGATTGAGCCTGCAACTGAGGTATGTTCTTTTGACCGGAATCGAACCCATGACCCTTTGGTTCATAGGCTGACACTCTAACCATTGAGCATACCGACCAGGGCTAAAATATGTGGGGTTTTTTTGCTTTTAGAGAGGGTGAGGGAAGGGGGGAGAGAGATAGAGAGAAAGAGAAATACTGGTTGGCTGCCTCCTGTGCTAGCTGCCTGGGTATGTGCCCTGACCAGGAATTGAACTGGTGACCTTTCAGTACACACGATGATGCTCAACCAACTGAGCCACATCAGCTAGGACTATTCACTGTTTTTGCAAAGGTGCTGTGGATTCTGCATTTAGATTTTATCCTATTCCAGAAAGACATGTAATGTAAATATTTTATTATAGTGTGAAAACTATAGTGTAACCTTTGTGTCTATATCTCCTAATATGCTCATCCTTCACTCAGACTAGCTGTGTTTTTTTAAATGACACTCAGAAATTCATAAAAATACTAATTAAATACGTTTCTTAACCAGAAGTAAAAGAAAAATCAGGGGCTAAATTTTTGGCTGGTGAAGTTTTCTAAAAGTAGCAAATAAGTTTTTCTTGCTAATATACATTTCAGGAAAATTGTACATTGATAATTTTTTTGACATGTGCTATATTTATAAGGTTTGTTTGTTTGTTTGTTTTTACCTATGGAGAGATTCCCAATCAATTTGGATTTGTCTTGTCAATATTTTTATTTTTCTTTTAGAGTGGAAAATTGGTCACTGCAGTATCTAACAACACTATTCAAGTCCATACATTTCCTGAAGGAGTTCCAGATGGTATATTGACTCGCTTCACCACAAATGCAAATCATGTGGTCTTTAATAGTGATGGTACAAAAATCGCCGCTGGATCTGGGTAAGACTCTTTGATATCAGAAAAGGAAATAATTCTGTTAGAACAGAATTGCCTCATTCATTGCTTTCAGATTAACATTTTCATGACTCTTTGTTTGTTCACTTAATTTTTATATTAAAGTCTTTAACTAGTAAAGGTTTTTGAAGGGAAAACTTGTGCTTGTGAATTGTGATATGTATATTGCTTTGCAGACAGTCTATTTAGAAAAAGATTGGTAAAAGATGATAATATGATACAAAATTTTAAAAATTATTTCAGGTAGAACTGGGCCTTTACAGTCAGGATTTTTGTGGTTTTTCTTGAGATTTATTTGTCATAGGAAAAATATGTAATTGGTGAGTTGCTATGGTGGAGTAAAAGGTACAGATCTTTTAAAAATGGTTGTGACAGTAATTATATTAGCAAATAATAGAAGTCTAAAATGTAATTATGGAAACCACTTATGGAATATTTGTATTTTAACATAATGGGAAATCTGGACTTGTGTTTTTAGCATCTTTATAGAGCAAAACTAAAATGTTGGTCATTAAGTCTGGCTGTCAGACTTCACAAGTTGCTTTAAAGAATTAAGTTTCTTGTAATTTTGAAATATTTGGGTCATAGCTTTTAGGAGACTCCTTTATTTTCAAATATATTTTTATTGATTTCAGAGGGAATGGAGAGGGAGGGAGAGAGATAGAAATATCAATGATGAGAGAGAATCACTGATCTGCTGCCTCCTGATTGTCCCCTACTGGGGATCAAGCCCGCAACCCAGGCATGTGCCCTTGCTCAGAATCGAACCCGGGACCTTTCAGTTTGCAGGCCAATGCTCTATCCACTGAACCAAACCGGCTAGGGCTTCAGAGAGTCTTTTGTATTGGCATTTATTCATGTACATTACTCTTATTGTTCATAGTGACTTTCTAGTCAAAGTTGTAGATGTGATGGATTGCAGCCAACAGAAAACATTTCGAGGACATGAAGCCCCTGTTTTAAGTCTTTCCTTTGATCCTAAGGACATCTTTCTGGTAATAATTTTCCTCTTCTCTTTTTGCATTTTTCTTTATTATGTTTGAAACTGTAAGAGAATTAGAAAATTTCATCCAGTTGATAAAAGCCGTTTTGATATATTAATTGAACCAGTTTCCATATAGTATATGGCTGTAACTGCAGAGAAATCTATTGTTTTATTCCTGCAGGCATCATCTAGTTGTGATGGATCTGTCAAAGTGTGGCAAATTTCAGATCAGGTAAACTCATCAATTTGAATTTAAAACTTCTGCCCATTTCTGTAATATATTGAGTGTTATATATTACTAGAGGCCTGGTGCATGAAATCCATGTACTTGTGGGGAGGTCCCTCAGCCTGGCCTGCACCCTCTCGAAGACTGAGAGCCCTGGGAGGGATGTCCGACTGACCGCTTAATGGGCCTAAGATGTCAGTTGGACATCCTTAGCATTGCCACAGAGGCGGGAGAGGCTCCCACCACTGCCCCTGTGCTCACCAGCCATGAGCCTGGCTTCTGGCTGAGTGGAGCTCTCCCTGTGGGGGCATACTGACCACCAGGGGACAGCCCCTGCATTGAGTGTCTGCCCCCTGGTGGTCAGTGCACATCATAGTGACCAGTCGTTCCACCATTTGGTTATTTGCATATTAGCCTTTTATAATATAGGATATTCTGTAGATGAGGCCCCCTAGAACCATAAGAAATGCAAAAAATTCACTATTAACTCATTCTTGAATTGCCCCCACTTAAATCAAATTGTCTCCCCCTTTCCCTCCCCCCTTCCCGTGGGCGTGTGCTGCACCTTGGGAACCACTGGACTTGACACTTCCTCTCTGAGCTTCATTTCTGAATATATATGCATATACCATGGGAATTGTAATCTTCTCCGCCTACTTTACTGGGTCGTCATGAGGAGGCTCTGAGCTAATAAACATAGATATGTTTTATCTTTTTAATTACACAGCAAAAAATAAAGATAAATAAATAAAAAATCTTTTATCTGGTTGGGTTAGAATAGTTGTTATATGAATCCACATTAAGTGTGGCCCATGCTTTATTTTATTTTTGTATCCCAATATTTAGATCCCAACAGATGGCAGTTTGTAAATAATTTATAAGACTGAATTTCCCTTATTGATTTATAAAACCTAAAAATGAAATTTTCCTGTAATTAAGTAAAAAAACAATTAGTCTTCAACATACCGTATTTTTCGGACCATAAGACGCTCTGGACCATAAGACGCACCAGTTTTTAGAGAAGGGAAATGAAGAAAAAAAGATTCTGAAACAAATAGTGTCCTAAAATATTTTATGTGCATTAAAACCCAACATCACAGTCATAAACACATGTAGTCAACCCTGTAAAGTAAACAGCAGCATTTAGAACCATTTTAGAGCTGGGCAAGCACACAGAGACCACACAGAGCCGGGCAAGTAAAAAAACTTTTTTTAAAAGTATATGTGTAGGCTATATTTGGACCATAAGACGCAGGGACTTTTTCCCCTCACTTCTGGGGGGAAAAAAGTGCGTCTTATGGTTCAAAAAATACGGTACTTTTGCATTAGATTATTATGGAAATTGACTATAAAAACAGTTACTAGTGTTACTCAAAAGAAACTGTAAAGAAAAAGAATTATTAATTTGACCAAATTTATTTTTGTAGACACTTTAAAATTTTAATGTAATAGTTTGGGAGTTTTTTGCATGTGTGTATATGTATGTTTATTCAATGAGTATAGTTTACTTATTTTACATAGGAAATTTTTCTTTTAATCCAATTACTTAAAACTTGAGCACTTCATACCTCTGAAAGACTTAAAGCAATTTAGATAAATCAAGCATTGTCATAATTAGATGAAAGTGATTAATTTGATTTTTTTTCTGAGCTAAATATCAATTTGAAGAATCCACCTATTAAATATTCAGTTCTGCATATCTTTTGGGGAGAATTTTTATAAAGGGGAGTAATTTTTTTTTTTTTTTTTTTATTAGACATGTGCTATCAGTTGGCCACTGCTACAAAAGGTCAATGATGAGATAAATGCAAAATCAATCTGCAGACTTGCTTGGCAGCCAAAAAGTGGGAAGGTAAGTGACTCTAATTTTCAACTTTTTAAAAAATTATTTGTTTTAGTTATTAACAAGTTTGAATGTGAGAACAGGTTTGTTTTTTTTAGAAAAAAATTTAAAACTTTTAAAAAAAAAAACATATTTTATTGGTTGTTTTTTTTTTAAAGAGAGGAAGGAAGAGGAATTAGAGAGTCAGAAACATCGATCAGCTGCCTCATGTAGAACTCCTACTAGGGATGTGCCTGCAACCAAGATATATGTCCTTGACCGGAATCGAACCTGGGACCCTTGAGCCCACAGTCCGACGCTCTATCCACTGAGCCAAACCAGTTAGGGTGTGAAAATAGTTTTTAAATTGTAACTATTTTTTTTGGATTATAAATTTTTGAGCTCCAGGCCTAATTAATATTAAAATGCTTTGAGAAACAGTTCAGCTTTTTAAAAATTTTTTTTATTTTTATTTTTATTGATTTTTTGGAGAGAGGAAGGGAGAGAGATAGAAAGCTAGAAAGGTCGATGAGAGAAACATCAACCAGCTGCCTCCTGCACACCCCCTACCGGGGATGTGCCTGCAACCAATGTACATGCCCTTGACCGGAATCGAACCCGGGACCTTTCAGTCCCAAGACCGACGCTCTACCACTGAGCCAAACCGGTTTCGGTGAAACAGTTCAGCTTTTTAAAGAATCTTTAAATAGTACATTCTGCATGAATGAATTACTTTTATATTCTTACCATCCATGTTTAATAGAGACAGTCTTATTATGTCCACTTTTATCACCATTACTTAACATTTTGAAGATGTACTGTACTAGCAGATACAGTTAGACACTAGAAAGCTATGAGAGGGTTTGAATAGAAGAAGGAGAATGCTCATCTGCAAATAAAATGCTTGCATATAAGGAAATTCCAAGAAAGTGAGCTGGGAAAATGGAGTAAAGGAGCTGTAAGCAAAATTAATATTCAAAAACAATAACAGCTTGGCCAGTGTGGCTCATTGTTTGAGCATTGACCCATGAACCAAGAGGTCACTAGTTCGATTACTAGTCAGGGCACATCCCCAGGTTGTGGGCTTGATCCCTAGTCGGGGGCATGCAGGAGACAGCTATTGATGTCTCTCATTGATTTTTTTTCTCTCTCCCTCTTCCTTCCTCTCCCTGTAAAATCAATAAAAACATTAAAAAAATACACATCAATAACAATCCTATATATAAACAATAGCCATTTAAAATATACAGTGGGCGAAAATAAAACTGTTATTTTCAAAAAGAATTGTATCAAAAAGATAATTAGGTATAATTTTGTAAGAAATATGATCATCTGTATTAGGGGTGTCGAACTCAATCAGAGAAGGGGCCAAAATCTAAAATCCAGCCTAAATCGCGGGCTGAATGGTTAACTGAACAGTTATAAACTGTCATTGTGATGGAAACACAGCGGACGGAGTGCAGTGATGACAGCGCGGTGAGGGCCACATTGCAAGGCCTGGCGGGACGGATTTGGCCCGCGGGCCTTGTGTTTGACACATGTGATCTTTATAAAGAGAACTTTAACATACTAGCAAGAGGACTCAAAGAAGACTTGCTAAATAGAAAAATATATCCTAGTCTTAGAAAGGAAATTAAAAAAAAATATATATATATATATATATTATTGATTTTTTTCATATTTATTTTTAATATATTTTGATATTTTACAGAGAGGAAGGGAGAGAGATAGAGAGCTAGAAACGTCGATGAGAGAGAAACTTCAATCAGCTGCCTCTTGCACAAACCCTACAGGGGATGTGCCCGCAACCAAGGTACATGCCCTTGACCGGAATCGAACCTGGGACCCTTCAGTCCGCAGGCCGACGCTCTACCACTGAGCCAAACCGGAAATTTTTTATATAAATAAAGATTTAATTCTTCCCTAAATTCTATAGTTTGGACAACATTAAAATATAAAATATCAGCCGGGGGACCGGTTTGGCTCAGACAAGGGCATGTACCTTGGTTGAGGGCACATCCCCAGTGGGGGGTGTGCAAGAGGCAGCTGATCGATAATTCTCTCTCATTGATGTTTCTAACTCTCTATCCCTCTCTCTTCCTCTCTGTGAAAAATCAATAAAAAATATTTTAAAAAAAATATATATATATATATAAAATATCAGTAAGATTTTTGGGGAAATCAGACAATGCTGATTCTAAAATCCATATGGAAAACTAAAGTGTTAAAAAAGAAAAATGATGGAGTCTTACCCAGTCAGATATAACATTATGATGCTATACGAGTTAAAAGTTTTCTATTGAATGACTGGACAGATATCTATTAAACAGAGAAATGGATCCAATATATATGGAAATTTAGTGTATAATAAAGGCGGAGAAAAGGAGATTTAGTAACTGGATTGGCAAAGGGCATAAATACCAGGAGGTGAAAGCCATTGAGGATGACCATCTTGGAGACTTCCCATCACATGGTGAATCTGCTTTATTCTTTCAACTTTTCTGTATGTGTGAAATTTTTCAGAAAAGATGATTAATATAAAAAGCAAATATTTTTGTATGATAAATATTTCAGAGCCAAAGGACAAATGACAAACTGGGAAGTTTGAAACAATATGACAAAGAGCTAACTTCATCTATATAAAAAGCCAGGGACCAGAACACCTTAACAATCAGAACAACCAGTCACTATGATGTCCACTGTGGCCATCGAACCATCCTGATCAGGGTGGGCATAGCGCCCACCCCTGATTGGCCCCTCCCACCCCCATGGGTCCACAGCTCCTCTACCTGCTCTGCCCCTGATTACCCCCTCCCCCTTACTCCAATGGATGGTGAGGCTGGCTGGCCAACCTCCTGCAACCCCTTCCCCTGACCCCCTCCCCCAAGCCCACACCCAGTGGGCCTCCACCACCCTGATTGGCCTGCAGCCCCTCCCCCCTGCCGGCTCTACCCCCTGATTACCCCCCTGCCTATCCCAATAGGGGGCGGGGACAGCTGGCCAACCTCCTGCAGCCCCTACCCCCACCTGGCCCCACCCCACATCAGCCCCCCACCCCAATTGGGCAGGGTTAATACTTCCCAGGCAAGATCTTTTAACATGTCTTTAACTGGTTTTGAAGTGTGTGATGGTACATTATCATGAAGCAAAATTACTTTGCTGTGTCTTCTGGCCCATTCTGGTCATTTTATGATCAAAGTGTGATTCAAATTGATTATTTGTTATCCGTAGCAATCAGTATTAATGGTTTCATCTAGTTTTAGAAGCTCATAATACACCAAACTTTCCTGATCCCACCAAACGCAGAGCATTGTCTTTTTTCCGAAGCAATTTGGCCTTGCAGTCGATGTTGATGGTTGACCTGGATCAACCCATGATTTTATGCATTTGGGATTCTAAAATACATCCACTTTCATCACCAGTCATAATTCGATGCAAAAAAGACTTTCTTTCATGCCATTGAAGCAACATTTTACTGATAACTTTTCTGCTTTCCATTTTTCTTTCATTCAGTTGTTGTGGCACCCATTTTCCTTTTAAAATCTTTGCCATTGTTTGTAAATGAATGGAAATTTTTTGCTGAGCAGTGTTTAATTTTTCTGCAAGTTGTTTTTGAGTTTGACACGCATCTTCATCCAAAATGCTTCTAATTGTTGGTCTTCAAATTTTTTCGGTTGATCTGGATGTTCTTTGACTTTCACATCGAAATGATCACTTTCAAAGCATTTAAACCAGTGTTCACAAGTATCTTGAGATGGAGCATGTTCATCATAAGCTTCATGAAGAATAAGTTAACTTTCAGTAGCAATTTTCTTCAAAATAAAGCAGTGAATTAAAACTTCTTGCAAATGCTCTTTTTTTTGGCATGAAATTTGATATTTAACACCTTCAGCAAGTTTGACATGAAGTTTTGAAGCTTGCTGTCATTACAACAAAATAGCATACATATCAAATTGCATATATATCAACATATGTGTAATTCCATCTATTGGGAAAAAATCTGCATTATTACCTGGTACATCTGGTATATATAACCTTTCATACTAAAGAATACAAAATGAAACTATAGCGATAGTCTGGTTTTCACATACAATATACTGTAGTCAAAGGTCAAAAGTAACATGAAAAGAGTATACCATTTTAAATTTTTTCTAGTCTATTTCTTTGGAAGAATATATAGTAAGATACATTTCCTTTTCTTAAGATTTTTAGGTAAATAAGATGAATTTTTGTATCCAAAGGACTTAGATACCTTAAAAAATAGTATTAAAAACATAGTAGCAAGCATTCTGATTTTCAATGGAGTGGAGTGAACATCACTCATTCTTTGCTTATCAAAATTTTAAGTAATTTTCTGAGTTTTGTTAGTTGCCAATTAAAATACAAATTTCCCCTTATGTTTTGTAAGCATGGATAAATTTTTTGCCTTTTTTTCTCTTTCAATTTAATTTAATGTAAACTTTTGTTTAATCGATTTATCTTTTCTAATAGTTGCTAGCAGTTCCTGTGGAAAAATCTGTTAAGTTATATAGAAGAGAAACTTGGAATAATCTATTTGATCTTTCAGATAATTTTATCTCTCAGGTAAGTTTTGTAAGGGACATTTTCAATAGGCTAAAGGGAATATTTAATACATACTTTGCCTAAACACAGTTGTAGTTAAATATTGTTAGAAATGGAGAATTTCAGTCTGTTGTTTTTGTGTTCTTTTCTTCCCCTCAGCCTTTCTTCACTTAGCGAATAACCTGACAGGTTTTCTTTGAGAAACTTGATAAGAAAAACTTAATTTATAAGAAGTCAAATTTAACCCTAACATAGTATTAGAAGTTATTCTCACGTTAACAGTATTTGACCTTTATTTCTAAATGAGTTTTACTGAGACTTATGATCATAGACTCTACAATTTTAGAACAGGAAAAGTTTTTGGTCTGTATTCTCTCTCACTTTCACTCTCACATACCCATTTTGCAGTTAAAGAAACACAAGCCCAGTAATTGAGCAATGGTTTACCAAGGTTCACTTCACTGTGACTGCTAACAGGATACCTTGTGTTATCTCTCTTTCCATGATAATAACATTTTTTTAGATTTTGCTTTTAAAATTGTGCCAGAATAATTTTCTCATGATAAACTAATAGCTACTGATAGTAGTTGAAAATTACTGAAAAAGAAAGAAGCAAGATTTGTTTTCAGACCTAATTAGAAGTTACCTGGAATATATTGAATAAGGGTTATACAAATTTGAATTTGGTAAAGTACGTGTGTAGTTTCAAATTATACAAAATTGTTATTTATTGTTTTTTCTTTATAGACCCTCAATATCGTAACCTGGTCTCCTTGTGGGCATTATTTAGCTGCAGGGAGTATTAATGGATCAATTATAGTTTGGAATGTGGAAACCAAAGATTGCATGGAAAGGTATGATTCAATGTATCTTTTTTCTCTTAATTGCTTATTTTAATTAGGCTTTTGTTTGTCTATGAAACATTTCAAATTTGTAATTATTAGATTGTCAAAATGCAAACAAAAACCTACTAGTGTGTCAAAAGTCATTTAACCTTTTTGTTTATTGACTAGAGGCTCGGTGCATGAAATTTATGCACTCGAGGCAGGGGGAGGAGGGTCCCTCAGCTCAGCCTGAGCCCTCTCACAGCCTGGGAGTCCAGAGATAGATCGCAAAGAGGTAGCCCCTGCCTACCCAGCCAGGGCTCCGTGATGGATCGTCCCCACAGAGGGAGGCCCTGCCCACTCAGGGCAATCGTGTATAATTATTACCATTTAACCTTTTCTAACTAAAATTTACCTAAAGAAATGTATAGCTTACATTTTTCTTGACAGTGCCTTAAGAACTTACTTTTTAATTTTTAGAGTGAAACATGAGAAAGGTTATGCAATTTGTGGCCTGGCCTGGCATCCTACTTGTGGTCGAATAGCTTATACTGATGCAGAAGGAAATCTAGGGCTACTGGAAAATGTTTGTAACCCCAATGGAAAGATATCAAGCAGTAAGGTAATAAGTAATATGGTAGAACAATTTCTTGAACATATATCTGTGATTATATGGATTTGGAAAACATCACAAATTGCATTACTTTCTTGGAAAATTACAATTCATGTAACTATATAGATACTCAGTAATGATTCTGTAATAAAAACTGTTTAAACTTGTTTGATTTAATATATCCCAAATTTATTTTATTAAGAAGCTGTTTTTCCCCCTCCATATAGTGCCTGTTAATATCCCTTAACTTTCTAAGAAACATCTTTGTGAAATACCTATGTAGGTATTTTCAGGATTGTTAGTTAGATACTTTCTTGCTAGAAATTGTTAATCATCTTTTGAGCCTCCGTGTGTTGTAATGTTTTTGCTAATGGAGGGTATTTGTCTTCAATTTGTAAAAAAATGCATTATCTGTGAAGCATAATAAAATGAGGTATGCTTGTAAATGTTTCATAGATAACAATTAGGTTAATAATTATAACTTGGTTTTAGGCTATAAACTTTTTCTGCTCTGAATTAGCCTTAATTCTTAGAGTTCCCCATATACTTCTTATGCTTAGCCATGCAGCCCTATTGAAGGCTTGATCTAAACAGTCCACCTTGAAAAATAAATAAAATAAAAAGAGAGAGAGAGAGAAAGGAAAAAGCAAATCAGTGCACCTTGTTTTATACCTCCTTGCTTTTGTTCATTATTCTTCCATTCATATTTCAAGTCTTGGTCTTCCAGTTGAAAATTATAGACTTTATATAAACAGTTATTCCTGCTCAGATACCTGATACCTTAAACCCTTGTAGTAGAACTGAGAAAGGGAAAATTTGATTGATTAGAAGTAGAATAGTTGCCTTTAAAAAAATTGTTGGGGTTTTTACTTCAATTGCTACTGTGGACAACATTTATCAGACTAATTTTAAAAGATGGCAAAAAAAAAAAATTAGAAAAGTCTTTAGCACAGTACTTTATAAGTATTGTTATGAATAGCATTGTCATAAAAATTAAATACTATCGATCTGACCAAAATGAGAATATGTCTATATTGGGAAGATTAGAGTAGGAGAATAGTATACATGTGTACATGGGGACAGAGGTGGTTGGAAAAAGGGCACCAAATCCTTCCCTTTCCTAATAGAAGGCAGTTAAAGTGATCTCAAAAACTGTTTACATTTGCCGGGACCGGTTTAGCTCAATGGATAGAGCATCGGCTTGGGGACTGAAGGGACCCGGGTTCGATTCCGGTCAAGGGCATGTACCTTGGTTGCGGGCATATCCCCAGTAGGGGGTGTGCAAGAGGCAACTGATCGATGACTCTTTCTCATCGATGTTTCTAACTCTTTATCTCTCTCCCTTCCTCTCTGTACAAAATCAATAAAATACATTAAAAAAAAAAAAACTGTTTACATTTAATACATGGTATGTTCGTATTCCTAGGGATCAATGATGAACTCTGTTGAATTTCTTTGTTTTCCTATTGGTTCTATTCTGTTTACTTCTACAAGCATCAAAAAACAAACAAAACAAAACTAGCCTTGACTGAGATAATTTAGAGCAAATATATCTTACCTAAGTAGTATTTTGTTCAAAATAAAAGTAAATGAGAGAATGTCATAATTAGGGACTTGTAGGTGACTTCTCTGGGGAATGACTATTGGGGAATAAAACTTGCCTGGTATTTGGGTATATGCACACTCTTATTTCATACTCCTGGCCCATTCATAGACTACAAGGCATTTAAGATAAGGACTAAGCCTTATATAAATGTAATCCTCATATATACACTTATTAATTAAGTAATCTTATTAGATCATTGCTTAATAGAGTTTATAGGTGCATGTTAAAAGATTGCCTTTTGAGTAATTGAGCTTATCAAAATAGTTCACTAATATTTTCTAATCTGTATTCATTTGTTCAAGGTATCTAGCAGAGTGGAAGAGGATTACAATGATCTTTTTGATGGGGATGATACAAGTAATGCTGGTGATTTTCTAAATGACAGTACGGTGGAGACCCCCTCTTTTTCAAAAGGGATTATAAATGATGATGAGGATGATGACATCATGCTGGCTTCAGGCCGTCCTAGACAGCGAAGTCACTTCCTAGAAGATGATGAAAACTCAGTTGGTATGAATTGACTTGTGGATATGATGATCTATCCTGCTGATTAATCTCAATTTTTATTAAAACTTTTATTTAAAGTCAATGAGCTAAGTTTTTGCGTTAGCAAATTAAAAAGAGAAGAGGAAATTAACCCCACACAAGCAAAAGAAAGGAAATAATAAAACACAGAATTCAATGGAATTTTGAGGGTTTTTGGACCTTCCTAATAAAATTATTTAAACAAGTCAGTTAAATGGAAAGCTATTTCTTTGAAAAGATCAATAAAATTGATAATCTCTATCCTGACCAAGAAAAGAAAGAGAAAATACAAATTACTGATATAAGTGTTGAAAAAGGGTTCATTACCATAGATCCTATAGATCCTCACTATCCAAAATGGTAACCACTAGCCACATGTGGTTATTGAGCACTTGAAATGTGGCTAGTTTAAATTAAATGATGTTAAGTGTGTACCGTAATGCAACCAAATTTTCAAGGACAGTATGAAAAAAAGAACATAAAATATTGTAATCATTTTTTACATTAAGTACATGCCAAAATTATATTTTAAATGCAATATATTATTAAATTTAATTACCCATGTTTTTAATTTTTAAAATATGAATACTAGAAAATTTAAAATTACATATATAGTTCACATTATGTTTATGTAAGTCAACACTATTATTAATATAATAAAGATAATAGAATATTACTCACAACTTTGTGCCCATAAATTCAACAAGTTAGATGAAGTGGACAAATTCTTTGAAAGATACAAACTCCCAAGTTAACTCAAGAAGAAATAGATGATCTGAATAGTACTATATCTGTTAAAGAAATTGAGATTATAATTAAAAACTTTCAAATAAAGTGCCTGTTGTAACAACGCACATACTATAGTAACAAGTAAAATGCCAATGCACAGTGGTAAATTGTGCTGCATTTAAATCATATTGAGTTTATAGAATAGAATCGTTTGAGAATTATTTGGTCTCAAGAGTTCATTGTACTGCTATATATTGTTTTTGCTGGAAGTTTATGAAGAAAAATCAGTCCCACACAAAAATGTAGTTTGAAAAGGAAAAAGTATTTTATTTATTTATTTTTAAAATTAGAATGTAGTTGATTTTTTTAAAAATATACTTTTATTGATTTTTTACAGAGAGGAAGAGAGAGTCAGAAACATCGATGGGAGAGAATCACCCATCAGCTGCCTCTTGCACACCCCCTACTGGGGATATACCTGCAACCAAGGTACATGCCCTTGACCGGAATCAAACCTGGGACCAGGCCAACGCTCTATTCACTGAGCCAAACTGGTTTTGGCAGAAAAAGTATTTTAATAGCCTTTTTAAATAAGTGTGGATATTCTTCTTTGCCACTGTACCAAAAATCTCAACACATGAAAGCTTCTTAAGTATTATTTGCAATGTGAAATCTGAAAACTTTTATTTTAAATTTATTTATTTTTGAGAGAGAGGAATAGAGAGAAATATCTATTTGTTGTTCCACCTATTTATGTATTCATTGGTTGATTTTTGTATATGCCCTCACCCGAACTCAAACCCACAACCTAGGCGTAGCAGGGCCATGCCCTAACCAACTGAGCTACTCAGCCAGGGCTTGAAAACTTTTCAATGAACTTTTCAACCCTATTACATTAAAATCCATTGGTCTGCCCTAGCTGGTTTGGCTCAGTGGATAGAGAGTCGTCCTGCGGACTGAAGAGGCTTGGTTTTGATTCTGGTCGGGCACATGCCTGGGTTGCAGATTCGATCCCCAGTAGGGGACATGTAGGAGGCAGCAAATCAGTTATTCTCTCTCATTATTGATGTTCTCTCTCTCCCTCTCCCTTCCTCTCTGAAATCAATTTAAAAAAATATATTTTTAAAAATCCATTGGTCTAACTTGAACTTTGAATTGATCTTTTACCATGTTTGATTTTGTAGTATATGCATTGGTAATTTGATAAATACTGATTCTCTGAGGTTTTTGGACCTTCCTAATATGAATGCCTTGTCTAAAATATATTTGTTAGTATCATCACCAATCTCATCAGAAGTTTTTAAATATTGGGAAGCAATCAAGCTCATGGTGCAACCGATACAAATTTTCCAATATTTTGATTTTTGTTCGTAAGGTCAAATTTTAGTGGCAACAAATTCTGTCAGTTAATCATTTTTAAGAAAATGTTTGCAAAAGACACAGATCTGCATAACTATAGTTTATCTGGCATTCTTTTAAGTAAAAATGGTGGTTCATGAAAAAAATCAATTCAGCTTACAACTCAATTGCTCAAATGCTTTATTGTTGAGACAACCATCATATCTATGTACACTTCCTATCTTAACACAGAAAACATTTAAAAAAAAATTTGTGCAGTGACCAAGATTTAATAAAATTATATTTTTACTGTAATTGAGTGGTGGTTAACAATGCATTGACCACTAGTAGATTAGTGTCCCTGCCTTGATTAATGCTAAAGCACCAGTAGTTTTACCCTCCATTGCTTTTGCACCATCACTGCAAATGTTAGCAAAGTGAAAGAGGTAAATATAGCCTGTTGGTGTTACTAAGTTTGACTGAAAAGGTTATTAGATTTCATTGTGCTTTTCTTTTTCCAGGTCATTGGTATTTATTGTTCTCTAATTATAATCCTTTGTGTTTTAGATATTACACTGCTAAAAACTGGTTCTAGTCTTCTGAAAGAGAAGGAGGAAGATGATCAAGCAGACAGCATTTACAACCTACCACTTGTAACATCCCAAAGGCCATTGTATGATGGGCCAATGCCAACTCCCCGGCAAAAGCCATTTCAGTCAGGTTCTACACCCTCGCATCTCACTCACAGATTCATGGTAAGCCTTGGGTCTACGCTTAACTTTTAAATAGTTTTTCTCAATTCGAAGCATTTTATCTCACTATAGCTAGTTAGTTTGGTAAAAAGTATTTTTAAAACACTTGATTTTTAAAAAACATTTTTAAAAAACTAGCCTGGAGCACTCTGGTTGATTTCAATTTTGTGGTTGATTTATTTTATGGTTAAGTCACAGCCTTAGTCTTATTTCAACTTTATTTTTTAAAATAGTGTTAAAGTTTTCTCTGCAAAATGATATATAATGAACCTAAGTAAATTTGACTGTAAATCTTGTGATACCTCTTGACTATACTTCTAAATCTTATTTCACATATTATGTTTGTTTTTATATAGGAGATTATACTGACTACAAAATGCTAGTTAGAAAATATTTTTTAGAAGGCAGCTTTTATAGTATATTATGTGATACATCTATGAAAAAGTACTATCTGTCCCCTTCCCTCTTCTCCCCCCACCCCACTGGAATGTAAGCTCCCCCAGGATAAATATTTTTCTATTTTGTTTACTGATAGTACTTAGAACCGTGTATGGCACAGCAGGCATTAAATATATATTTCTTGAATGGATGAATGAATATTAGTTTTTTTGTCTTAAGTTTGAGAGCTAAAAATGTTTAATATTTCACTTTGTTCATTATTTGAGGTTTTCCACTGAGAACTTTGCTTGTTTTTTTTTTTTTTGTTTTTTTTTTTGTTTTTTTAAGATATAGGCCTGGCAGAACTTTATATGTAAATATTAAAAGTGACATTTTCTTTTAATAACACTTTGCATCAATAATCATCACGAAATAAATCTTAATTTTTGGTTGTCAACTGTTATTTATATAAAGTTATATTTGTGGTAGAGGAAAGAAAACACTAGAGCCTCTTAAGTTTATAGTGTACATCAGTGAAAGGTAAATTTCCAAAATAAAATTGATTTTTGTTGCTTTAAATTATACATATTTATTACTATAATATAAACCAGTTATTTGAAACAAAAAAAATTGCTGTCATTTCTAAAAAGTGTTTTTTAAATGACAGTAATGTAATTTAAAGTATTAAATGAGAAATATTCTATTTCCTAGTAAATTTGTGTTATATGTACTCTCTTCTCTTGAAGATAGGAATAATTAGTTATTGTAGCTCTGATGTTTACTATTGTTACCTGAAACTATTTAGAGGTAGATGAGCTGTGGTTGTTTCTATATCTTAAACCCTGATGTAAACTGAATTATAATATTTGTTAATTGTACCACTTTAGCCTACTGATTCTCAGAGTGTTGGTTTTCCTCTGACTTGTATTTAACCTTACATGTTTGTAGATGTGGAACTCTATTGGAATCATTCGCTGCTATAATGATGAGCAAGACAATGCCATAGATGTGGAGTTCCATGATACCTCTATACACCATGCAACACACTTATCCAACACTTTGAATTATACAATAGCAGATCTTTCCCATGAAGCTATTTTGTTGGCATGTGAAAGCACTGATGAACTAGCAAGGTAACTTTGAGATTATTAGAAAGCATTGTCACTATTGAACTGTTAGATACAGTTGTTGAAATTAAGTACAAAAAGTTAATAAAATTATACCTTTATAGCGTAAAATTTATTTTAGTATAATTACCAGCACACCCATAATACCCCAGAACATATCTGTTTTTGCCTTATTACCCCCATGTTACATTCTCTAACTACCTGTCAAAGTGACATGACCTGATTTGTAATGCAAGACATATGAAGCTGTATTTTTTTTTTTTTTATCAAATGTAAGCTCTCTCTCTCTTTTTTTTAATTTGGTTGTGATTTTTGTATGTATTAACAACCTAGGATTATACTCTGCAGATTTTAGCCTTCTTTTTTTGTTTTTTATTCAACATTATGTTGTGAGCATTTTCCTGTATGTTTAAATATTCTTCAGTAACTTAATCGTTAATTGTTTAGTATAGTTTATTTTAATTATATCTCATAGTTACTTTCTTAGAGACATTTCTTGTACTATGTGTATATAACAGAAAAATAAACTACGTATTTGGTTTTGTTACTAGATGTCATGATTAGTTATATATATAAAATATCTAATATGAAAGTTTGATTGTTTCTATCTTGTTTTCATTTTCAGCAAACTTCACTGCCTACACTTTAGTTCTTGGGATTCAAGCAAAGAGTGGATAGTAGACATGCCCCAGAATGAGGATATTGAGGCCATATGCCTTGGCCAGGGTTGGGCTGCTGCTGCCACTAGTGCCTTGTTCCTTCGATTGTTTTCTATTGGAGGAGTTCAGAAAGAGATCTTCAGTCTTCCCGGGCCAGTGGTGTCAATGGCAGGACATGGAGAACAGCTTTTCATTGTTTATCATAGAGGTAGATTTTTTTTCAGTCTTTTATAATTTTACCATAACCTAAAATAAATGTAAATCACTTGAGCTTTTTTCTTCTTCTTTTTGTTTTTTGTTGTTTTTTTTTTGTATTATATACCTCCTTTTGCATCTATTTTAGTTATAGAAGAACTATATTAAGGAGAGAATTTCATGGAAGAGTTTGGTTAATTACTTCTATATCTTAAAAGATTTTCAGAGTTTAAATGCCTCAAAAACTAAACTAACTCTAGTATGATTAACCAAAACAGCTTTGAATGTGATTTTTTTTTTTTTAAGTTACTGCTTTCTTTTCCTCACTGCATATTATCTCTTCATTCCCCACCACTATGCTCAGCCTGGATTATCAAGGTTACCAATGGTTTCTTTATGCTTGTTTTTTAAGAATAATTCTATCAGAAATACTTTTTTGTCTTGACTTCTGTGCCATCCCTCTCTTGATTTCTTTTTCCTCACTGATAGCTCTTTCAGCTCTCTTACTGGCTCTTCTTCTTATACTGACCCCTGGAATGCACTAGGACTTAGTCACAGCTCCTCTTCTCTAGTACTCTTTTTTTTCTTCCTACTACTTAAAAAATAAAAAATGTTTCTGTATTGATTTCAGAGGGGAAAGGAGAGGGAGAGAGAGGTAGAAACATCAATGATGAGAGAGAATCATTGATAGGCTGCTTCCTGCATGCTCCCTACTGGGGATTGAGCCCACAACTTGGGCTTGAGCCCTTGACCAGAATCAAACCTGGGACCCTTCAGTCTGCAGGCCGACGCTCTATCCACTGAGCCAAACTGGCTAGGGCCCTAGTACTTTTTATGTCAGAAACTTTCAGTCTTTGACTGCTTAACCATGATAAGTACTATATTCTACGTATATTGCTATTCTGAACATAGCAAATATAACGGGAAGTAAAAGTCTCGTGGACTTTTGTTTTGTTTTTTAATGGTAGTTGCAACTCTAAAATAAATTTTATCACTCATAGGTTTAAAAAAATGCAGTTTGAGAAACTATCCTGGGGAATCTCATTATGACCCATGTTTTTAAATACATCCATGTGTCTATAACGTCTAAATTAATATCACCAGCCTTCATCTCTTTTATTTTCACACTTACCCACTTGAAATCTATGTAGGTTTGATACACACCTCAAACTTAACCTGGTCATGATAAAACTTTTTATATATTTTTCCCCCTCCAAACTTGCTTCTTACTTAGTTAACCCATCTTGGTAAACAGCATACTATCAATTCAGCTGTTCAAGCCAGGAATGTAAGCATTATTCTTGATTCTCTTTCCCTCATCCCCCAGGTCAACTGTCAGTAAGATCATATCATCATGTCAGCTCTTTGGAATAACACATCCCAAATCTGTCTCTTTATCTCCACTAAAATCCTAGTCCAACCCAGATGTCATCTCTCAGGCTATTGCAGTAGCCTTCTATCCAGTCTTTCAGCTTCAAATATTGCATTCCATAATTCATTTTCCACTTAGCAGCCTGGGTAAACTTAAAAACATGAATCTTTTGCTATAGCTGGTTTTGCTGAATCGATAGAGCATCGGCCTACAGACTGAAGGGTCCCAGGTTTGATTTCAGTTAATGGCATGTACCTTGGTTGCGGGCACAACCCCAGGTGTGTTTGGTGGGGGGCAGGGGCGGGGAGGCGTGCAGGAGGCAGCTGATTGATGTTTCTCTCTCATCGGTGTTTTTAACTATCTATCCCTCTCCCCTGTAAAAAATCAGTAAAATATGTTTGAAAAAAAAAGAAAAAGAAAACAAAAAACCCTACAAATCTCTTCACTTAAATTCCTCTGATGACTTGCCTGTGCTTTTAGAATAAAAATCAAACTACTGAGAGAAACCAAGATGGCGGCATAGGGTAGACACCCGAATGCAGCCTACCACAACAAATTTGAATTTAGAACTGAAAAACAGGGGAGGCATTGCCCTGAAGCGCCAGACGGCTGGCTGAGAGGAGGCTCTGCCATCTGGGAAGGAGAGAGAAGGCACGCTGAACCTCAGGAACTGTGAAGGACTTTTCTAAGGCAAGACTGACAGGGAACCAAAGATTGTCTGCACCACCCCGAGACCCCGCCCTATTCAAGCAGAGTACAGAAACCCTCCTAGCTGAGACACTGCTGATCCTCACAGCCAATTGGCTTGGAGATCAACGCTTCCCAGTGATACCAACAATAAGCAAGGCTTAACAACAAGACTGCACACACAGCCCACAAAGGGCTACACCAAGACTGTCCACTACAGGTAACTGGGAAGGCTGTGCTACTGGGCTCTACCAGAACACCTAGCACACAAAGCTATTCCATCAAATCAGGGAAACAACTAAAATGCAGACAAGAAGAAGGACACAAAGGAAGGAGATGGAGGAAAAGAAAAGATTGGACATTGAGTTCAAAACTACAGTTATAAGGTTATTCAACAATATCCTAAAAAAGGCCGATAAAATAAATGAGACCTATGAGGATATGAAAAGGGAGCAACTAGAAATAATAAGGGATCAACAAGAAATGAAGAAAACATTGTCTGAAATAAAAAATATTATACAAAGTCCTAAAAACAGACTGGAAGATCACAAGAATCAAGACAAAGATTTAGAACACAAAGAGCCAGAGGACACTCCTCTGCAGAAGGGAGAAGATAAAAGAATCCAGAAAGTTGAAGATAGTGTAAGAAACCTCTGGGACAATTTCAAGCGAACCAACATCAGAATTATGGGGATTCCAGAAGAGAGAGAGCAAGATACCGAAAGAGTACTAGAAGAAATAGTGACAGAAAACTTCCCCCACCTGGGGAAAGAAATAGACTTACAAGTCCAGGAAGCCCGCAGAACCCCAAACAAAAGGAATCCAAGGAGGACCACACCAAGACACATCATAATTAAAATTCCAAGAGCAAAAGACAAAGAGAGAATATTAAAAGCAGCAAGAGAAAAGCAGGTAGTGACCTATAAAGGAGCACCCATAAGATTGTCAGCTGATTTCTCAACAGAAACCATGCAGGCCAGACGGGAATGGCAAGAAATATTCAAGGTGATGAATAACAAGAACCTACAGCCAAAAATAATCTACCCAGCAAAGCTATCACTCAGAATCAAAGGACAGATAAAGAGCTTCACAAATAAAAAAAAGCTAAAAGAGTTCATCACCACCAAACCAGAATTATATGAATTGCTGAAGGAGGTTATTTAGGAAGAGGAAGAAGATAAAGATAAAAATTATGATCAACAAATACGTAGCTATCAACAAGTGAATCTAAAAACCAAGGGAATTTAAAAATCTGATGAACAATATTAACTGGTGAATATAATAGAATCAGAGGTATGGAAGGGGAGTGGACTGATGATTCTCAGGGAAAAGGGGAGTGGGGGTGCGGGAAGAGACAACAAAAACTGTGCACCTATGGATAAGGACAGTGGGGGATGGGGAAAGGACAGAGGGTGGGGTGGGAACCTGGTGAAGGGGAGCAATTGAGGGGGGGAAGAGGGTCACATTTGTAATAACCTAAACAATAAAGATTTATTTAAAAAAAATCAAACTACTTATCACAGTTGACAGGGTCCTACATGGTCTGATCTTTGCCTGCCTCTTCAACCTCACCTCTTGCCACTTTTACTGTTGGTACTCTTCTGGCCATACTGGCTTCTTTGTGGTCTTCAAACTCACCAAGCTTATTCCCACCTTAGGACCTTTTCATTAGGTGTCCTCTGTGTCCACTATGGAGCTCCTCTTCCTAACATTTGGATGGCCGGCTCCAACTTACAATTCATATCTCAGCTTAAATTTTACTTTCTCAGAGGCCGTCTCTGACTAGCCAATCTAAAATAACCACTCGGTCTGGCACTCTGTATCACCATATTACTTTAAATCTTTGATAGCACTTAGCATTTTCTGATCTTTTGTTTGTTTTTAAAGTTCATTTGCTTGTATTCTCCTACCTGAAATATGAATTTCATGAGAACAGTAACTTTGTCTTGTTTATCCTTGCAGCCCCAGTGCCTGACACATAATAAGCTCTCTGTAAATATTTCTTGAGTGAATGACTTACTACTTAAATCCAACCACTTTATGTAGATAGTCCATATAACATAGTATTTTGCCTCTAATACCTGAATGGTGCCCCCTTTAGTTGGGTTAGAATATAATTTAGAGTGTATTATAGCTAAGTAACCTTTGATACCTGATTTATATTTATTTATTTATTTATTTTTACAAGGAACAGGATTTGATGGGGATCAGTGTCTTGGAGTTCATTTGTTACAGATGGGGAAAAGGAAACAACAAATTTTGCATGGCGATCCTCTTCCTCTCACAAAGAAATCCTACCTTGTATGGGTTGGATTTTCAGCTGAAGGCAAGACAAATTCATTTATTTATATTAAAGAGATTTTTCAAGAAGAAAGTTGTTTCATGGTTTTTTCCTAATTAATTTCTTTATAGATAAATTGTTTAAATTTCTTTATTTCATTATGTTGGCAAAACTGGAAACAGATTGTTCGGCAAGGTAGCCATTGTTTAGTTACAAGATCTCTTTTTCGTGAGTATTCTGATTAGTAAACTTATAAAGAGGAAATATATTTTTCAGAAAGTTTATTAACAGAACAAGGAGATACAAATCAATGGTAAAGTTGTGGCTATTCCAGCAGGTCCCACACAAAAATCAGGAATTTTCTATTGCTGTACTGTCTAATATAATAACTCCTAGCCACATGTGGCTACCGAACACTTGAAATGTGGCTAATCTGAATTAAGATGTGCTGTAAGTATAAAATACTCTACGAATTTTGAAGACTTAGTTAAAAAGAGAACATAAATTGTCTCAATTATTTCATATTGATTATATATTAAAATGATTATATTTTTGTTATCTTGGGCTTAATAAAACATAAATTAGAATTAACTTCACTTTCCCCCCTTTTCTCATGTGACACTAGGAAATTAAAAGTTATACTTGTGCCTCACATATTTCTGTTAGACAGTGCTATTGTAAACTCATTTAGTAGTGGCTATGATAGATGATTTGAAGAATACGGATGATTGATCTTATTTTAAGGAGCCTTTTAATCCTATTTCCTGGCTTAAGTATTTCTATTAGTGGAGATTCTTGCCCTTCAGTTACATCATTTGAAATTCCAGTTTTATCTTTATCAATCATTTCTAGATACATTTTCTATTAGGATATTACTAGTCATTTATGCTTTAATAATGTGACTATGAATAATTTCCATTCATGGATCTTTTTTTCCAGTTACCAATCAAATCTAGACTCTGAGGAAACTGCTGTTTGCGTAGTGGGAGGGCTGTAAAGTCAGAAAAGAAAAGGGGTAATTAGGGAACTTGCTGCGTACTTCCTGAGATGGGAGCAGAGTAGGTGAGAAACAAGGGTGCTTACCTTGGAGTTGAGGGACAGAACGGTAATAAAGCCCAAGAAAGAAAGAAGTAAAGAAGAGTACTAAACACAGATTCTGTGTATCCTTACCTTGTCTCAAATTTGGTATTTTTCCAAATCGCTCTTAACCAGGGAACTTCAGATACAAGTTTTATTTTATTTTTTTTTACTGAAATTGGGGCTTTTGAAAATATTGCTATGTTCCAGCAGATGGCATAGTTTTCACTGAAACTGTTTTTTCTCTTTATCTGGGTAAATTTCAGTCATATCTTACGTTTTTTTCCCACCTTTCTTCTATTAGGTTTCACTCTGTGTGATTAATGAAATTTTGTGAGAAAATAAACTTGGATTTTTTGCCTTTTTTTTCCTGTTTACTTTTGAGTTAAAAGTTGAATCATTGGTGTGTGTATTTAAAATAGCATTTACTTAAGAAATATGTAGCAATGATTGGTTTTCTATTGGTATAGGTACCCCCTGTTTTGTGGATTCAGAAGGCATTGTTCGAATGCTTAACAGAGGGCTTGGGAATACGTGGACTCCTGTGTGCAATACAAGAGAACACTGCAAAGGAAAATCTGATCACTACTGGGTGGTTGGTATCCATGAAAATCCCCAGCAACTGAGGTAGGCTATTAGAAAATGCTTTTTAAAGTGTATTTTTATTTGTCTTTCCCCTTAGTTCATTTATTTGCTTTCTGTATTCACTATTAATAAATTATGGATTTGTTTATATTCCCTGTGAAGTTTTCAACTGCTTGCTTGACTTGGAACTTATTGAAAAAAAAAAAAATAGAAATTAAGTTTATTAGTGTGGCTATAACATAGAGAGGGGAGTTCTGGTTAGACATCTTACTTTATCTTTTATCACCTCTAATTTTTAAATATGATTTAGAATTGAATGCATATAATGTAGCTGTTTTTTGAGATTTTTTAGCTTAATTATTGCAATGGATGAGAGATTTAATAGTTTACTGCAGGTGTGAAATTTTCAGTCCAAATAGTTCCCATTCAATATTGTGTTGAAGATTTCCCTCTTTTTTGACACCTGATATCTTCTTAGAAAATTGTCAATGATATGTAAGTATACACTTGGTGAACAAAGAGGTTTCTGCTTTCATAGAGCTTATAGTTTGGGGAGACAGATAACAGAAACAACTAAATATTAATTACTAATTGGGATAAATGACATTAATTAATCTGAGCCTGACCCATGATAGAGAACAATCGAAGGGCATGTTTTAAGTGGAGTGATCACAAAAGACTTGTTTTTTAGGTTCTATTTATTTATTTTTCATTGATTAAAGTATTACATATGTCTTCTTTTTCCCCCATTGACCTCTCCCCTGCCACTCCCACACCCCGTCCCCCAACTTCCCCAGTGGAGATAGTATTTAATATGAGACCTGGAAGGCAAAGGAGTCTGTTATGGAAGAACGGGGTGAAAAGCAATTCATTTAGAGCAAACAGTGTATGCAAAGGCCCTGAGGACAGAAAGAACTTTATATATTTGAGGAATTGAAAGGATCTAAAGTGGATAGCATATAAGAATCAAGGGGTGGGGGGGGCATAAGTCCAAGATGATAACAAAAATTTAGACACATGTTGCATTATAGTCCATGGTAGAGAAGTTTGGATTTTATTTGAAATAAATTAGGAAGCCATTCAAGGATTTTATCCCGGGGAATGGTGTAATCTGATTTATGCTATAAAAAGGAATATATGATGGTAAATGTATTGGCATGAGTAAGACTAGAAATAGGAAGGCCAGTTTTCAGTACGGGGACTTATCCCTTGTGGGGATGTTTGGAAATGTGGGGAATTGTTTTTAGCTGCTACAATTATAGGGGTTGCTCTGGCATTTAGAGAGCTGGGGCCAGGGTTGTTAAACATCTCCTAGTGTGCAGGATGGTCCTCAACTACAGATTATCCCAAATGCTTTCAGTGCCTTCTTTGAGAAACACTGAGGAAGGTGTTGTCATCATCCAGCTGAGCTGAAACAATGGCTGGAACTAGTGTGGGAGTAGTGGAAATGATGAGAAGCAGGTTCGAGAAAGAAACAGTAGAATTTGCTGCTATTGGATTGGGGATTGGAAGTGAAAGAGAAAAATCAATGACATCTATATTTCTAGTTAAAAGCAACTAGATGGATAAGGGATATGAAAGTGAATTCTCTCTTGGGTGTGTTAAGTTTGAAATGCAAAGTATCCAAAGATGCTATCGAGAAGGTGTTGGATATATAACTCAAAGTCAGAGGAGAAATTTTGGCTGGAGGTAGAAATTTGGGAGTCACCAGAATATAGAAGGTATTTAAAGTCATAGGAATAAATTAGATGGCTTAAAGGTGGGGTGGGAAGAGTCTCAAAACCCAGTCCTAAGAAATCCCAACATTTAGAGGTTAGTATTAGAATAGGCACTTTTGCATGGGGGGGGAAAGATTAAGCAAGTAAGAGAAAAATCATCTGAAGAGGGTCATGTAATAGACACTCTCAAGTGGGGACTATTTCAAGAAAAAGGCAATAGTGTGGAGACACTTCCTTTTGTGCGTGGTGGTGAAGCAGAGTGAACCCCATGAAGGCCTTTAGCAAACTTCTATATTACAAGGTGGTGGGGCGCTGCCTGCCCACCCCAAGTGCCACACACCACCCCTCTACTGCATGTGCATCTGCACGTAGTCATGTTGTTGCCAAGTCCCGCTTCTGGTACTTTGTTTCTCAACTGAATAATATGAAGGAGTCTTCAGGGGAAATCGTCAACTGTGGGCAGCAGGTATTCAAAAAATCCCCCCTTCGGGTGAAGAACTTTGGCATCTGGCTGCACTGCAACTCCCGCAGTGGCACCCACAACACGCACCGGGAGTACCGGAACCTCACCACCACAGGCACTGTCACCCAGTGCTACCAACATATGGGGGCCTGGCACCGTGCCCATGCCCACTCAATCCAGATCATGAAGGTGGAGGAGATTGCAGCCAGCAAGTGCCACTATCCAGCAGTCAAGTAATTCCATGACTCCAAGATCAAGTTCGTGTTGCCGTGCCCGGTCCTTCATCGCCAGCACAAGTCTCACTTCACCACAGATGCAGGGTCTCTCTGTCCCTTGATTTTTGCGAGAGGGGGGGGGGGGGGGTGTCAGTAGTAAGAATGGGAAATAAAAATGACTCTCAAATATATATAAAAAGATAAAATACCAATCAAAGCCATATTTTTACTTACCAAATTGGAAAAATATAAAAATTTGATAACATTTTTAGTGTTGGTGAGGCTATCGTGAAATAATCACACTGAGTACCCATTGGTTATAATCCCCATGGAAGGCAAATTGTTAAGAACTACCAGAATTAGAAATGCATATGCCTTTTGACCCAATAATTCTGCTTGTAGGATTTGTCCTACAGATGTACTAGTGCTTGATATTTAACGTGTGATCCATGGACAGCATCAGCATTGTTAGAATTGCTGAATCTCCCATCAGACCTACTGAATGAGAACCTGCATTTTAACAAGATCTTTAGGTAATTTGTATGCACATTCAAGTTTAAGGAATACTGTTTCAAGCAAATGTGGGAAATGAAACATGTAGAAGATATCCTACAGGGAAGGATACTTACTATTAGCAAAAGATTGCAGATACATTTGGCAGTTGAAGGGTGACAGGAATTCCTGTCTGATGGCTTCTGTGGTGGAAGCAGATTATGAAGCAATGTCCAGGATATTTTTTAGGGCAGTGTGGGAAGTTTGAGAGAACATGGTCTTAGGAAATGAAAATCAAACCTAGTAGAGAGCCATAGAGGAATTGTTGACTAATATTTCTGTCTTACCTTTTCAGAATCTCCAAATATTCCATTATGGATATTTTTATTACCAAATGGAGTATGTTTGTTATTTTTTGCATGTTATTCCCAGGAATCAAGTTATTTAGTAATTTGGATGACAGAATTCACATTTTTATCTTAAGAGGTTAAGTTTTGAACCTATAAGGATTTTTACGTTCCCTCTAAAGTTTATTCAAGCAAGAGGGTTCATTTTGTTAATGAATGCCATTATCTTAAAGAGGTATATTTAACTTAATATTACAAGTTTTTATGGTGAGACCTTTTCTTTACTCACAGGTGCATTCCTTGTAAAGGCTCTCGGTTTCCTCCCACCCTTCCACGCCCTGCTGTAGCCATATTATCCTTTCAACTTCCTTACTGTCAGGTTGCAACAGAGAAGGGACAAATGGAGGTATGTGGAAATCGTGCCTTGACACTCTAAATTGGATATTGTACTGCCATTTAAAAATGACCCTCTAAATTGGATATTGTGCAGCCATTTAAAAATGATCTTGATGAGTATTGAGTATTCATTACTTTATAATTAAATAGATAGAGGTAGCAGGGAGGGAGGGGACTGCTTATGATCACCAGGGCACCTGATTGCCATCACTGCTGCCAAGGACTTTGTGGGTGGTATTCTCAGTGCCTCCCTATTGTAAGTGGGTGGTATTCTCAGTGCCTCCCTAGTGTCAGGCACTCACTGTCAAGGTCTGGCAAGTCCTGAGGGGCTGTGCTTCCATACATTTTTGTGCCATGGCTATCTGGCTTGATTCACCCTAGTCCTAGCCTTGCATCATCAAAAGTCGTTAGAAATCTTGCAATTAGTTATTCTAACAAGAAGCAAAGTGGCTTCTAAAAAACTAGTTTACCAAGTCTCTGAGCATTAACTATAGTAGCTAGGAAACGGTTTAAAACATTCTATTTTCTCTGCCCCCCTTTTAAGGGTAGGATATAAAGTCAAGCCATAATATCACATTAATTAGAATTTGATGCTATAGAGATGAATCTTTCAGAAAATATTTTATTCAGAAGCTGATGTTAAGATAAATATTTAAACTTTTCTAGTATTAAGTGGTAGTTGACTCTAAGCAATTTTTTTCTCTCACTTTTATAGGAACAGTTTTGGCGTTCGGTTATGTTTCACAACCACCTTGATTATTTAGCTAAAAATGGTTATGAATATGAAGAGAACACTAAAAATCAAGCAATAAAAGAACAACAGGAACTTTTACTGAAAATGCTTGCAGTAAGTAAAATAAATATACTTATAAAATGGAAGTTAAATATTTTTCTAAATTTGAATCTCTTTAAGGTATGTGAATTAGCACTGAGTTTCACAACCTAGAATTTTTAAGTTGTATCCGGTGGTGTTTTTCTCCCTTAAAAAGTTCAGTTTTCCAGTTGACATTGCATTTAAAATATTTAAAACATTACCCTGTATCTAAGATTATAGGCAGTAATAAACTGTTCTGGTGCAACCTCCCTTTTTGCTGTTTTAATGGGTTCTGCAGTGATTTTGATGCTTAATAATATTTGAGAATCAGGACCTCTACCTCTTGCTCTTATCCTGTGCAACAGTGTTTCTAGACTTTTAAACCTCCGAGGGTGGGCAGTTTTCAGAACTTTCATAAGGCTTTTAGATATATCTATTTTTTTTTTTTTTTTGTCATCCTCTTACTTTGAATATCTATTGCCAGTGACCATATTTGGTGCCTGGGATATTTAAGTGCTTTTACTTTTGCAGGTAAATTTGGTTTATGAAGAGGAGTATAGTATAATTTCTTCTCTGCTCAACTGGTACTAGGCTATAAGCCCCTTCAGGGCAGGGGCCATGCCAGGTACTCAATGGAATAGAATACACAGTAGACTTCAGTATTTCTTGAGAGAGTAAATGGTCCAGACTTTCATTTTAAAGTTGAGGGAAAAGTGATATCTAAGACTTCAGAGCTAATTGTAACTACAGTCTCCAAAACATGGTATTCACTACTGTCACCACTATGCAACACAGCCTTGAATCTAGTACTAAAGAAATTTAATTCATTTATTGTAGAGTAAGTTTTGCTCCTTTTGTGAAGGAACAAAAGTGTCATTTGTGATTTAGGCACTAGTAACCTTTTTACTGTCTCTAACACTTTCAAGGAAACGTTTGATTTAGTTTCCATTTAGTTTTATAGGAGTGTTTCCTCTGGAACAGTATTTCTCAGGAGGATACTAGTAGCTTTGGGGACTGGTCTTTAACCTTCTGGTCCCTGGCAAATGCCTCTTCAACCTAGTTACTTTGAGCATCTTACTACAACAGGTTCTTAAATAACATTATTCCATTCAATGTCAATAAGTTATAACTGAAGAGAGAAAAAAATCAACTCCTGGGAGGAGCCGCTGACTTTGCGGAGTTTGCCTGTTTTCCCCATGTCTGTGGGAGGTATTCTCCAGGTACTCCAGTTTCCTCCCTCCCACATCCCAAAGATGTGCACGTGAGGTGAATAACATGTCCACATTGTCCCATAGTGAGTATGGGTGTGTGGGTGAGTGCATCCTGTGATGGAAGGGCATTTTTCTTTTTTTTCTTTTTTTTAAAATATATTTTTATTGATTTTTCACAGAGAGGAAGAGAGAGGGATAGAGAGTTAGAAACATCGATGACAGAGAATCATCGATCAGCTGCCTCTTGCATACCCCCTACTGGGATGTGCCTACAACCAAGGTACATGCCCTCAACCGGAATCGAACCCGGGACCTTTCAGTCCGCAGGCCGACGCTCTATCCACTGAGCCAAACCGGTCCCGGCGGAAGGGTACTTTTCAAGCGGGGATTCCCTGAGCTTCAGGGATAGGCTCTGGCCACCTGTGACCCTGAACTGGGATGGTGGGTTGGCAAATAATTATCTTACTCATTTTTATTCATCATTCTTAAATATATATATATAACACACATTTATTTCAATATTTAATATTGGAACTGTTTTGGGAAGTTTGGTAAAATGTTTGTGACCAGAAATATGCAGTAAGAACTCAACTCCTGTTTATATCAATTAGCCTATAGTAAAATTGGGTTGTTCTTTTTAAAATAAACATATTTTAATTGATTTCAGAGAGAAAAGAAGAGGGAGAGAGAGAAACATCAATGATTAGAATCATTAATAGTCTGCCTCCTGCATGCCCCCTACTGGGTATTGAGCCTGAAACCTGGGCATGTGCCCTGACCTCAAATTGAACTGTGACCTCCTGGTTCATAGGTTGATGCTCAACCACTGAACCACACTGGCTGGGCAGTTTGTTATAATTATTTAGTTTAAAGTTGCAGTTTCTAGGAACCTATCAGCCATGTTAAATGAGATTTGCTGTACTCCTTTTTATTTCTAAATACCCCCCAGAGACAGTGTACCACTCTGAGAAGTACTGCTTATAGATAAGTGATACTAGAAAACTTGAGAAGGACTTGCAAGTGAATATCTAAATTTTCTGTTTAATGAGTCAGACATGTGACGTCTAAGTAACAAAATAGTCTTTCTACCTTATGAATTATGAGACCCTTAGTAATCTTCGAAATATTAATTTTTCTCACATTGTACTTGAGTTGCCTTACTTTGAGTTGTCAAAATTAATTCCAAAAAAAAGGTCAGTGTTTCTTAAGAGATGTTAAATGATTGCCCTTTGTTTTATATTGTTAAACCAGAGGCCCAGTGCATAAAAATTCATGCACTGGAGAGGACGTCCCTCAGCCCCACCTGCCCCCTCTCACAGACCAGGAGCCCTCAGGGACAGGAGGCACCGGTGATCAGGGGAAGGTGACGCCCCCATCAGACCTCTGCTGCTGCCACTGCCAGAAGTGCAAGTCTCAGCTGGCCCTGGTTACCTGAGCCTCGGGCGGCCCTGGGCAGCTGGGCAGCCACCATCCCAGGCTTGTCTGCTCTTCGGGCCAGCCCTGGGCAGCTGGGGGGCTGAAGGGACTGGTGGACTCTGGAGGCAGGCATGTGGAATGGCCAGATCTGCCTGGGAATGAGCCCAGCTGTGCCATGCGCCTGCCACCCGACATGGCTGAGGGGACTTGGCAGGGCTGAGGGGACTGGGCGCCGCCATCTTGTGGCTGTGGGTGCCACCATCTTTGAAGGCATGGCAGTCAATTAGCATATTCCCCTCTTATTGGCTGTGGGTGCTGCCATCTTTTTGAGGGCATAATGGTCAATTAGCATATTCCCTCTTTATTAGATAGGATATAAAATAGAGCAAGGTGTTAAGGAAGTTGTTTGCTAATTTGGAGGTTGTATATTTGTTTCTGGTAGTTTGAAATCATAGACAATCACACTTTAAAACTACTATTCATAGTTAAATTTGCTTGCCCCCACAAATTCATTTAGTAGTTTTTGTGTGCCAATTCTAGGCAAAATAGTAACAATTTATTCCTTCTTTAAATTTGCTACCCTTTTTGGCAAGAGTGGGAAAACAAATTTAGAACCACATTTGAATTTTAAATGGATCTTTTACTTTCCTTGCAATGAATAGCTTAAAATGATATGCCAATCTAAGCTATTGATTATAAAATGCACTATTGTTTTATTTATTTAAACCACTGAGACAGAAAAAAATGGTTGCTAATTAAACTGACCTACCATGAATTGTAACACTTCCCAATTTCAGAGATGTTAAAATATGTAAAAATGTGCATTTCAGATATGGTATATAGAAAACTCTTTTCTCAGTTTTACTAGTAGTTTCATTCCTTTATTTTTAATAGTAAAAAGTTTAACAACATGATTTGATTTTTTGTTGTTGTTTTGTTTTCCTTTGGGGCTAGCTTTCCTGTAAACTGGAGCGAGAATTTCGTTGTGTGGAACTTGGTGAACTGATGACTCAAAATGCTGTGAATTTAGCCATTAAATATGCCTCTCGTTCTCGGAGATTAATATTGGCCCAAAAACTTAGTGAATTAGCTGTAGAGAAGGCAGCAGAATTGGCAGCAACCCAGGTGGAAGAAGAGGAAGAAGAGGAAGAAGGAGATTTCAGAAAAAAACTGAGTGCTGGGTAAGAAATATTCAGTTGTTTGAATATTTTTTTTAACCAATCTGAATATTAGCTTGGTCTTTGCATGTTGCTCTTTATTGAATAATATTGTCTTTTAGTTACAGTAATACTCCTACAGAGTGGAGCCAGCCAAGGTTCAGAAATCAAGTTGAAGAAGAAGCAGAAGACACTGGGGAAGCTGATGATACAGAAGAAACATCAGAAGAACCTAAGTATGGTAAGATACATTTTCAAAGCAATTTAAAGAGGAGAAATACGTGTGGGGTTTTCTCTACTTTACTTAGCTAGGAAAATTGAATACAGTAGATCCCCTTATCCATGGTTTTGCTTTTTGTGGTTTCAATTACCCACAGTCAGTTGCTCAAATATTAAATGGAATATTCCAGAAATATATAGTTCATAAGCTTTAAATTGTGTCATTCTGAGTAGCATGATGAAATCTTGCACTGTGTAATTCCACCTGGAATGTGAATTATCTATCCCGTTGTCCATTGTATTTACATGGTGTATACTACCCACCCATTTGTCAGTCACTCATTTATTAAATCTACTGTGGTATTGAAGTGCTTGTGTTCATGTAACCCTCGTTTGACTTAATAGTGGCCCCAAAGCATATGAGTGATGCTGGCAATTAAGATATGCTAAAGAGAAGCTATAAAGTTCTTCCTTTAAGTGAAAAGATAAAAGTTCTCAACTTCATAAGGAAAGAAGAAATTGTATGATGCTGAGCTTGGTAAGATCTCTGATAAGAAAGAAAAAGAGCCCTGGCTGGTTTGGCTCAGTGGATAGAGCGTCGGCCTGCGGACTGAGGGGTCCCGGGTTTGATTCTGGTCAAGGGCATGTACCTTAGCTGCGGACACATCCCCAGTGGGGGGTGTCCAGGAGACAGCTGATTGATGTTTCTCTCTCATTGATGTTTCTAACTCTCTCGCTCTCCCTTCCTCTCTGTAAAAAGTCAATAAAATATATTTAAAAAGAAAGAAAAAGAAATGGTGCTAGTTTTGCTGTCACACTTCAAAAGTGCAAAAGTTATGGCCATGGTGTGTGGTAAGTGCTTAGTTAAGATGTAGTGGAAGACATGAACAGAAAATGTTCTGGCTAATGGCAGCGTGTTGTACTAGAAAGCATTGAGCCTCTGGAAGCCTTTAGCAAGGATCCCAAGATGAGTGACTACATTCACATAACATATTACAGCATAGTGTTATAATTATTTTATTATTAGTTATTGTTGCTAATCTCTTACTGTGCCTAACTTATAAATTAAACTTTATCATAGGTATGTACAGGATAAGGCAAAAGTAGCTTTATAGTTGTGAATATGCAAAACAGTTTATTTTATTATTTGTTAATAATTATATTATTTTCCATACAAACAACTATACACCTACTTTTGCCCACCCTGTATGTGTTAATATTGATTTCAGGCGTCTACTAAGGATCTTAGAATGTATCTCTCATGGATAAGGGGAGACTGCTGTACCCATACTTTTTCAAGACATCGTGTTGATTGTAGAGGGTGACTTTATATTCCCATTTATATTGTATTATCTAATTATTCCATAGGGCAGAACCCATTTTCCAAAAGTGCAAATTCCTCTGATGTGCCAGCTGTTAAGTCAGGTAGGAAATATTTGTAATTTTGTAATATCACAAAAACTTTGTAAATAGTCTAAAGTGATACATCTACTCAGAGAGACTTTACCCTTTGGGCCTTGTTTTTAATGTTTTGTTATGGTTTTTGTTTTGTTTTTTTGGTTATTGTTGTTGTTGAAAAGTATCTACCAGATTTGGCTACATAGAGTTTTATTGATTTCTTAGCAAGAACAGATTCTGTAAGGTGGTTAGGAGGGCTGGAAGCCATATTATATTGGATGTTGGAACATATTAGCAGTGAGGAAATGGGAATAGCCATGTAGATAGCTCTTTAGAATTGGTGTGCCGAAACCGGTCTGGTGTGCCGAAACCGGTTTGGCTCAGTGGTAGAGCGTCGGTCTGCGGACTGAAGGGTCCCGGGTTCGATTCCGGTCAAGGGCATGTACCTTGCTTGCGGGCACATCCCCGGTAGGGGGTGTGCAAGAGGCAACTGGTCGATGTTTCTCTCTCATCGACGTTTCTAGCTCTCTATCTCTCTCCCTTCCTCTCTGTAAAATATCAATAAAGTATATTAAAAAAAAAAAAAAAGAATTGGGCTGGTGTGAGGAGGAGAGACAAAGTGGTGGCTGGAGGGGATGCGGGGTAGAGAGAATTTGTATTTTGTTTGTTTAAGTTGGGAAACTTGAACAGCCAATAAAGAGGGAAAAGAAGTCTAAGACAGTGTAGCCATGATAGGACAAAGCAGGAGGGCATGAGATTGAAAGCACAAGGAGAAGAATTAATAACCTTCATTAAAATAAGACACCATTCTTCCATGATAACAGGAGAAAATGATAGATCTACATGTATTGGGTTGGTATAGTTCCCATCTAAAAGCTTTTATTTTGTCTTGGGAATAGGAAGGAAGTCATATATAATTGTTAATAGTTTTAAAGTTACAAAGTACGTTTGCTTTTATATAATACATATTAAAATATTTCTTTTATTACTATAGAAGTCAGATGTCTTCTGTGTTTTATCACTATTAAATAAAGGTTTCTTTCCTATGAAAGGTGCAGTTACCTCCAGTAACCCAGGACGAGTAAACCCCTTCAAGGTAAACTCTTTCCAGTAATACTTTCTATTTAAGTACATTTCCATACAGAGAAATATTTCAGACCACCTGATGACCCTCCCCAGATTGGAGGCATCAAAGTCTACAACAGATCTTTGTGATAACAAAGACAAAAGCAGTACAGGTTCACACTTGGGCTATAAGGTATATTTTCTACCTATCTACTAAGTACCTATTGTTTTTAAAGACACTCCCTTCTTTTCTTGGGGATGTGGTATTTGGGAATATGTGGATCAGTCTTAATTTGGGTTGTACCAAAGGTACTCAGTTCAAAAAATGAAACCACAATATAAACTTAACTGAAATTTTAAGGAAGAATAAATTTACTGGGGTTCTTTTACTTCTTTAAACATAAAATGCTTATACAAGTTTGCTCTTAGGTATCGGCCAATTCTAAAGAGCCAGCCATTTCAGTGAATTCAGGACGTTCTAATATTTTAGATAATATGAACAAGTCATATAAGAAATCTACTGCACTTAATCGAGCTACAAACGATGAAAAGTCTCCAGTAATAAAGCCTCTAGTGCCAAAGCCAAAATCTAAGCAGGTACTGTTTCAACTACCCACATCTGCAGAAAGCACAAAATCTGTTTGTCTGTTTGTTCACTGTTTCAGGAGGTTCCAGTTGTTTATAACTGTTTTTCTTGCCATTTAATCATTTTTTATTTTTCAATTGTGGTTGACATAAAATATTATATTTCAAGTGTACACCCCAGTGATTAGACATTATATAATTTTCTAAGTAAGCATCCCAATAAATCTCGCATCCATTTGACACCATACATAGTTAATAGAATATTATTGACTATATTCCCTATGCTACACTTTACATCCCCATGACGATTCTGTAACTAACAATTTGTATTTCTTAATCCCTACACCTTTTCACCCATCCCCCTAATCCTTCTCTCATCTGGCAATTGCCAAAATGTTCTTTGTATCAGAGAGTATGTTTCTTTTCTGCTTCCTTGTTGATTTTGTTTTTTATTCAATTGTTGATAGCTATGTATTCATTGCCATTTTATTGTCCATATTTTTTATTTCTTTTTATTGTTGTTAATCCTCATCCAAGGACATTTTTTTCATTGATTTTTAGAGAGTGGAAGAGAGGGGTAGGGACAGAGAGAGAGAGAAACATGGGTGTGAGAGAAACACTGATTGGTTGCCTCCCACACGGGCCCCTACCAGGGTCGGGGAATTGAGCCTGCAATAGAGGTACATGCCCCTGATTGAAGTAGAACCCGCAACCCATCAGTCCACAGGCTGATGTTATATCCACTGAGCCAAACTGTGTAGGGCTATCTTTTTTTTTTTTTTTTCTTAAAGACTCTAATATTTCATAATACTAGTTTGGTGGTGATGAACTCCTTTATCTTTTTGTTGTCTGGGAAGCTCTTTATCTGACTTTCAATTCTAAATGATAGCTTTGCTGGGTAGGGTAATTTTGGTTGTAGGTAGGTTCTTGGTTTTCATCACTGTGAATATACCTTGACACTTCCTTTTGGCTTATAAAGTTTCTGTTGAAAAATCAGCTGACAGGTAACTCATGAGGGCTCCCTTGTAGGTAATGCTCTCTTGCTGCTTTTAAGATTCTCTGTTTGTCTTTAACCCTTGGCATTGTAATTATGATGTTTCTTGGTGTGGCCCTTTTTGGGTTCATCTTATTTGGGACTCTGCACTTCCTGGACTTCTATATGTCTGTTTCTTTCGCCAAGTTAGGAAAGTTTTCTGCCATTATTTTTTCAAAAAGTTTTTTAGTTTCTTGCAGCCTTCTCATTCCAGCAACTCCATGACATAGTTTTGGTATGCTTGAAATTGTCTCAGAGGTTTCTTACCCTGTCTTCATTTTTGTTTTGTTTTTTTTTTAATTCCTTTTTTTTTGTGGTTTTTGCTTCCTTATATTCCTATTCTCTACTTTGATTCTTAGCTTCATCTACTCTACTATTGATTCCCTATAAATTATTCTTCATTTCAGTTAGTGTGTCTTTCATTTCTGTGTTGTTGTTTTTTTTTTGTTTTGTTTTTTATGGTGTCTATGTCCTTTTTCATATTGTTGAAGTTTCACTAAGTTCCTTGAGCATTCTTATAACCATTCATTTGAACTCCAGTTTGCTTGCCTCTATTTCATTTAGTTTTTTTTTCTGGAAATTTTTGCTCTGTTGTTTAAAATTGATTGCCTAGCAAGTGCAGAGGTTCTCAGTTCTGGTTTTGCTTCAGAATAATTTAAAAATATCTATATCTATAATAATAAAAGCATAATATGCTAATTAGACTGGATGACTTTTCTAGTCCATCGCCTTAATCACTCGGCCACGACTACCTCTTAGACTGGATAACTTTTCTGATGAAGCTGGGGCTGCAAGGGAAGCCTGGGTCCCAGGTGCCTGCCAGCGGCCAGAGGAAAGGAAAGCCTAATCTTTCATGAATTTCATGCACTGGGCTCAAGTATATATATCCAGACGTTGGGGATTCAGGCATCTATCTTTTTTTTAATTTCCCACATTTTAATGACAACTGGTGTAATACCTGGCTCTACTCCTTCCTTGTTCTGTATTCTTATTTTACCTCCCAGATTTCATTCTATATTTGTTGTTAATATAATAGATCTCTTATGTATCTTTTCCATCTCATATAATTTTATTAATTTAGAAAACATGGAATTTGAAAATGTGTGTGTGTGTGTGTGTGTGTGTGTGTGTATACTTACTTTCAGTTGAGAACTTCAGGACTTACCATGTTGGTATAAGAATTCTAAATAATTATAATAAATACTTTTCTTCATTTTCCACAACTTATTTGTAACATATAAAACCATACTAGGTTTTGTTGCAGAAGTCATTATGTTTATTTTTTACAGGTATCTGCAGTATCCTATTTCCAGAAAAGGACTTCTCAAGTTGATAAGACTGAGGAAGTGAAAGCAGAAAATCCTAAAAATTCGTCATCTGAAACCCCAGCTATGAGTCCTCAAAACAATGAAAACCAAAGGTCAGTACATAGAGAAATTTAGTATTCTCAAGTTAAAGTCTCCCAGTAAAAGGCATACAGAAGCAGCAATACAAAATTATACAGCTGTTACTCGGTATTATAAATCACACATTGACACTGGTAGTGGACATTCTGAATACTTACTAACTTTAAGAAAGTCACAAATACTGATTTATGTATATTTACATTGCTTACTTAAAGTGTGCTTTTATAAGTTGGATGTGTTTTAAATTGTAGAAACATTTTATTAAGACAATACTTTATAGTTAGTTATTTTATTTTTAATTTTTATTGATTTTTAGAGAGGGAGGGAGAGAAAAAAACACATTGATTTGTTGTTCCACTTATTTATACATTCACTGGTTGATTGTTGTTTTTTTTTTAATAAATCTTTATTCATATTATTACAAAAGTTCCTCATTTTTTTCCCCTCCACCAGGTTCCCACCCCACGCTCTGCCCTTTCCTCACTCCCCACTGTCCTCATCCATAGGTGCACAGTTTATGTTCAGTCTCTTCCCGCACCCCCCACTCCTCTTTTCCCTGAGAATTGTCAGTCCACTCCCCTTCCGTACCCCTGATTCTATTATATTCAACAGTTAATATTGTTCATCAGATTTTTTAATTCCCTTGGTTTTTAGATTCACTTGTTGATAGTTACATATTTGTTGTTCATAATTTTTATCTTTATTTTCTCCTTCTTCCCAGAGAACCCCCTTCAGCAACTTATATAATTCTGGTTTGGCAGTGATGAACTCCTTTAGCTTTTTTTATTTGTGAAGCTCTTTATCTGTCCTTTGATTCTGAGTGATAGCTTTGCTGGATAGAGTACTTTTGGCTGTAGGTTCTTGTTATTCATCACCTTGAATATTTCTTGCCATTCCCGTCTGGCCTGCATGGTTTCTGTTGAGAAATCAGCTGACAATCGTATGGGTGCTCCTTTATAGGTAACTACCTGTTTTTCTCTTGCTGCTTTTAATATTCTCTCTTTGTCTTTTGTTCTTGGAATTTTAATTATGATGTGTCTTGGTGTGGTCCTCCTTGGATTCCTTTTGTTTGGGGTTCTGTGCACTTCCTGGACTTGTAAGTTTCTTTCTTTTCCCAGGTGGGGGAAGTTTTCTGTCACTATTTCTTTCAATATGTTTTCGGTATCTTGCTCTCTGTCATCTTCTGGGACGCCCATAATTCTGATATTGGTTCGCTTGAAGTTGTCCCAGAGATTTCTTACACTGTCAACTTTCTGGATTCTCTTGTCTTCTTGCTTCTATGGAGGAGTGTCTTCTGGCTCTTTGTGTTCCAAATCTTTGACTTGATTCTTGCAATCTTCCATTCTGTTTTTTAGGACTCTGTATAATATTTTATATTTCAGACAATGTATTCTTATTTCTAGTTGATCCTTTATTATTTCTAGTTGATCCCTTTTCATACTTCATAGGTCTTGTTTATTTTATCGACCTTTTGTAGGAAATTCTTGAAAAACCTAAGCGTGGTTTTGAACTCTATATCCAGTTGCTTTTTGTCCTCCATTTCTTTCGTTTGTGATGTTTCCTTGTCTCGGCATTTTCTCTGCTTCCCTGAGTTGGTAGGGTGGGAGGATCAGCTGTATCTATGCTAGGAGACAGCCTTATTCGACTAGACTTGGAAAACTGCAAGAGCTTCTGTGCTCAGCTTGGATGGGGTGGAGTTTCAGGGTGGAGCCTACAGCCTTGGCTTCCGGTTAGCCCTGCCCTATGAGGTTCCTAAGTCTCAGTATTCCTCAGTGTCCTTTGATACTCGCTGCAAGCACCTCTGAGAGAAAGGTGCCCTAGAGTTTCGCCCACTACCAGACAGTCTAGTCTCTCCCCTAACGAATCCGCAACTAGGGTTCAGTGCAGTTGGAAGTGGCGTTAAGAGCAGTCTGGAGCTTATGTCTCCTTCCCGCTAGGGCAATCCAGCAGCTCAATGAACAGTCTGTCCTCTGTGTGAAATGTGTATGACTCGAGGGCTCTGCCTTTCGCCACTCCCCTGAGCTTCTGCCTTATAGCCCAGATTCCCTCTGTATCTGTCTGGGTCCCCAGGGTCTCGCTCAGAACTGGGGTTCAGTGCTGTCGGAACTGGGGTTCAACACAGTCCGGAGCTTTCATCTCCTTCCCGCTAGGGAACGCCAGACAGGCACTCAGCTGCCCCTCCTCTCCAGCTCCGTCCTCTCTGCGCACGCAACGTGTCTCCGTACCTTAGGCTTTTACAGCTCCTCTGATTTTCCTTCTGGTTTTCTCTTTCCTTCTCATTGTAGAATTTCCAGTCAGTCAACTTTCCTGTATTTCTGGATAATGTCCACTTTATATTTTAGTTATATTTTTTGAAATTGTTGTGTGAGGCTGCAGTTAGGCATTACCTATGCCACCATCTTGGTTTCTCCCCCACTGGTTGATTCTTGTATGTTATCTGACTGGGGATCAAAATTACAACCTTGGCATATCAGGATGATGTTCTAACCCATTGAGCTATGTGGTCGCTGCCTATAATTAGTTCTTTAAAAAAAAAAAAAAAAAGATTTTTATTGATTTCAGAGAAGGGAGAGGGAGAGAGAAATTTCAATGATGAGATAATAATTGATCAGCTGTCTCCTGCACAACCCCTATTGGGGATCAAGCCTGGCATGTGCCCTGACTGGGAATTGAACCCTGACTTCTTAGTTCAAGGGTTGGCGCTCAGCCAATGAATCACACTGTTGAGGCAGTTCTTTTTTTTTAATAGATAATATAGTTACTACATGGAGAAACATGGTTAAAAGAAGTGTAACAAAGAATAAATCTTTTTCCTATCTACCATTTCCTCTCTCCACAAATAGTGACTGCAACAAGTTTATTATATTTTATTATATAGCCTTCCAGAATATTGGTCTATTTTTTTTTTTATTTTTACATTTTACAGAAATGGTAGCATACACATTGTTCTGTACATTACTGGTTTTCACTTAGCAGCTTTTTTTTTTTTTTTTTTAACATATTTTATTGATTTTCTTTTACAGAGAGGAAGGGAGAAGGATAGAGAACTAGAAACATTGATGAGAGAGAAACATCCATCAGCTGCCTCCTGCACAGACCGGAATCAAACCTGGGACCTTTCAGTCTGCAGGCTAACGCTCTTTCCACTGAACCAAACCGGTTTCAGCCACTTAACAGCTTTTGCAAGTCATTTCAGATTACTACACAATGTTTCTTTTACCTTTTTATACTAATTGAATGGATATATCATAATTTACTTAGTTCTCTGTTGTAAAAAAAAAAAAAAAAAAGGTCCTTTGCTAGTATAAATAGTACTGCAATGAACAACTATATGAATGTCCTTTGTCACATAGACATGTAGTTAAGGATTTCTGTATGGTTCAAGTTAATGTGCACTTATAATTCTCATAGATATTGCCAAATTGTTCTGCATTGATGTTTTATCATTTTACACATCCCAACAATATGGGAGTTCTTATTTGTACACATCTTGTTTCTCCACCTTTGCAATACATTACCAAATTTCTTGATCTCTGTTATGCTAGAATTATTTAAGATGGATTGGTTAAAATGAAGAAATCGTCATTTTATTTTTACTAGTAAGTGTCCCATTTAATCATTATCTTATGTTAACCAGTTTAATTCGAGGGGGAAACTATGATTTTTATTTTTCCTATATTGCTCTGAATTCAGCTAAGATATTAAAGTGAATATTTTAAGATTTAGGTTTTTTATACTAATAACTGGATATACAGAAAAAGTACTCAGTGAATATTAAATGTTTGCATTAAACCCTTGTGGACTAAAGGCAATTGTGTGGGATGAAATCTAATAAAATTGACAAGTGTGCTGTGTCCATGTTTTACATGATAATACAAGAAAGGACCCACACTCCCAGGTCAGACGAGAGGGCCAGGATAAGAAAATGGCTGAGGAGGTTGAGGGAAATCCTAAAGATTGCAAATAGCTGGTTTGGGAAATGAAGAAAGAACCTACCAAGACCACATGGAGTAATTTTGCTGGGCCAGAGAGGCCAGAGATTGGAGACCTTAAGCCTGATAACATTAAAAAAGGGTTGAAAGTACAGAATTCATAGTTGCTGCATGAATTACTCAACTTGGAAAGTACAATTACAAGGGCACATTAACTTTCAATGACCTTACAAAGAAATTTTCAGTTCATTATCCCTGCAATCTCAAGGCAGTTTTAAGTAATATGTATTAAGAATATTAACAAGTGTAATTGTGTCTCTTACTTTATACAGTGATGTGAAGAGTAGTGTTTGACTACTAACCTGAAAAATCATAAAGCACTTTAAATTGTGTCTCAAATATAACATTTTTTTACATAATTATGATCTTGTAGGCCAAAGACTGGGTTCCAGATGTGGCTGGAAGAAAACAGAAGTAATATTTTGTCTGATAACCCTAACTTTTCAGATGAAGCAGACATAATAAAAGAAGGAATGCTTCGATTTAGGGTATTATCAACTGAAGAAAGGAAGGTAAGGATATTTTGCTGAGATTGAGATCTTAGTGAATTCACAAGTTTTAAAGATTCTTATGGAAAACACTTCTGTTTTTTGAAAATTGAATATATTTCAACAAACTTTGAATAGAGGAATTTAATAACTAAAATTCAACATGGAACTGACATTTGCATATATAGTAGTTATTACTTACTGCTAATGATTAATTTGGGGGCAGGTATATTGTTTACATCTGAATAAGTTCCTGCATATTATAAGTTAGGGGAATATCTCAAGAAAAAGTGCCTTAGTTATAAATTAAAAGCAAATAAAATTAGTAAGTAAAAATGAAATTAATTCACATTTTTAGATTAGTACTTTAGGGCAAGCATGTCAAATTCAAAGGCTAACAAAGGCCAAATAAACAAGGTTTAAAGCTTATATAGGCTGCAAAAAAAACAAGCTTCAATTTTCATAGAAATGTAGGTTTATTTCGATAGATACATGCTGAATACAAAGGCTGAAATAAATGAGTAATTGTTAACATAAAATAATAGAATACTTTAATAAAAATTAATATTTTTTCTTGAACATTAACTTATCAGAAACTGAATAACTGCACAAATTAATAAGTGTAGCACAAATAAACCTATTTTTCTTGTTCTCCGAAAGTGAAATATTTTCTGTTTCCCACAACAAACAAGTCGATCCAAGACTAACGACATGACAATCAGCTGCTAAATTTTTGCTGCTAGTATTAGTGGAAAGAAATGGTGCGCCTGCGCGTAAGGCATGTAAGGGAAATGAATGCAACACGATTATAGTAATTAGTCATTAGCGAATGTTGTAGTTTGTTATTAATAATTATGTATAACAGGATATTGTAAAAATTAAATTATGAAAGTTTTATTAAAACATTTCTTACAGTAAGATATGTACACATATAATACCTTAATAAAAAAATGAAGAAGAAAAAACATTTCTTACATACTGTTATGTTGGCTGGGCTGCAAAAATATTCGTTGTGAGTCACATGCGGCCTATGGCCTTGAGTTTGATTTGCTTGCTTTAGGGTCTTGTTTGCAGAATTTTTATAAATGTTATTTACTTACACTAAGAATACTGCTTTTGGTGTTCTTTTCGAGTCTTTCACATGGAAATTAGAACTGGTTGCTTGTACCTAACTGCTCCTCACATGAATTTCTGCATCTGAAGGAAGACTGGGAGCAGCTTTCTGTTGCAATGGGAAGGAATGTGTGTGGTGTATCCATTAAATCTGGGACTTCACTTTCCCAGGGATGGTAGTGTGCAGCATGGGCACCTAGGGACATAGATTCTTGCCTTACTAAACTTGGTTTTATAAATAAAGGTATTGCAAAATGAGGAAGCTAGAAACTGGTCTGACCAACTCCGGCCTCATTTAGAATCTTGACAGCAATTTGTGTTTCTTATTTTTTTTTTTTTAGGCATTTATAATAGGATAAACATTCTAAAGAATTAGGTAAAATGGCTTCTGAAAGCAACTTGGCAAAAGTTGTAATTGTTTTTGAATACTTAGAATTGTAATAAATATTTTTAAGATAAACCTTAAACATTTACATACATCTAATTTGCTCATGTGAGAAATTCTACAGCTCAAAGGGTCCCTTTTCTACAATAAATAAGAGGGTAAGAATATAGAGGAGTAGTAATAGGAGAAACTATTACAAATTAAGAGAGATTTCAGAGACAGATGAAATGAGTCATAGGGATAAAGACCAGAGTACTGATGCCAGGAGGGGGGGCCTTGGTGAGGAGTGGGGGCACATGATGGACCCTTGTGGTGACAGAAGTTCTGTACCTTGAGTGTGGTAGTAAATACATGAACCTACAAGAGAATTAAAAACATATACCCACCCAAGTAGAAGTAAAAGGGGGTTGCCCATGTCCATATCCTGGTTGTGATATAGCACTACAGTTTTTCAAGATTCTACCATTAGAGGAAACTGGGAAAGGGGTACATGGGATCTTTCTGTATTGTTTCTTATAACAGCATGTGGATCTACAATCTCAAAATGAAAAGTTTCATTTTAAAAAGTATTTTGCAATTAATGTGATTAAATACAAGCTGAGTTTAGATTGAAACATTATCAAGGTAGGATGTAAAATTTTTTAATGTGTTCTGCAATTAAGTAATAAGAAATTTCTTAATAAGAACGCTTAACGATTAGCTTAACAATTCAAGTGCTAGTTATGCTACTTTATAAACAGGAATGTTACTTGGGAAAAATAAAAGTATGTTCTTCCTACTTCTTTGTTACTAAGTAAAAATCTTTTCTCCTCCCATGTTTTTACAAAGGCATGGACTACCAAGGCCAAACGTGGAACTGCAAGTGATGGAGCTGAAGCAAAGAAGCGAAAACATGTGGCCGACGAAAGTGAAGAAACTGAACACCAGAAAGAAAAAGCAAAGGAGAATCTGAATTTGCCTAAAAAGCAAAAACCTTTAGATCTTTCTACGAATCAGAAACTGTCAGCTTTTGCATTTAAGCAGGAATAGAGTAAGAAAGTGGCCTTTGGAAAGTAATGGATTTTTTAAAATTTATCTTTGATGAATCTGGACTTTTAAAAAGTCTTTAGGAAACTCTCTATATTTTTTTAAAGAGTTTAAAGAAAATTGTTTGCCTTTATAAGATCATAGTAACTATACTATTACCTTATCCTGTGGTATTTGTCTTTCTGATTGGCTTATTTCACTGTCATTTGGTTTAATGGTGGAGGTAGCAGGGGATGTGTAAAAACTATCATTTCTACAGATTGCTCTATCCCCAAAATAGAGGGCCATTTGCAAGGTCTGAAAACCTGAGCATTGAAATACCTTGTAGGGATTTCCTCTTTTGGTTATCAGGGACTGCTCCCTGTCTATACTGGACCGAGGGGGCCATGGTTTTTAATATGGGCCCTAAACATGTAAATACTTTTGTAGATGAGATGTTTTGTTTTGGAAATTTCTTCATATGTGGCTTTTAATTATCCTCATAGCCTAGTTGTTGTTTTTTTAAATAAAACTTTTACATTTTCATATTTAACTTGTTACGGCCTTAACATTGTATTTCCATGGGTTAAAAATGTTTTTTTAAAATATATTTTCTATTTATTGCCATCATTTACTCCATCAGCCCCATCCTGCTATACATCATACACATGAAAGTGAAGAATTGAAGGTAGTGTTTTGATAGTCTGCCACCAGCATGATGTGCTCCTGGTAAGTTACTCTGGTTATGAGCATCATTGGTACTTTTCTGAGCAAGTCTGAAGCCTTGATAAGAGAGTAGTTAAAAAATTAGAGAAAATGGCCGAAACCGGTTTGGCTCAGTGGTAGAGCATCCGTCTGCGGACTGAAAGGTCCCGGGTTTGATTCCGGTCAAGGGCATGTACCTTGGTTGCAGGCACATCCCCAGTGGGGAGTGTGCAGGAGGCAGCTGGTCGATGTTTCTCTCTCATCGACATTTCTAGCTCTCTGTCTCTCTCCCTTCCTCTCTGTAAAATATCAATAAAATATATTTTTAAAAAAATTAGAGAAAATGTTTGTTTTATTTTGAGAAACAAGACTTAATTATTTCATAGTTTTTTTTGTTATTCTAAGCAGAGCTTAATATAAGTACAGCCAGTTAATGAGGGCAAGGTACAGGGGTGGGGATGGGTGAATAGTAATAAAATAAAATCAGGTAGTTCAAAATTGAGGATAGTTTTATATGTTGGAAGGAACAAAATATGATGAACAAAAACAGATCCAGAGACAGAGAAGCATCGATCAGACTGTCAAATTTCAGAGGGATGGTAGGGGAGGGTGGGAGAAGGGGGAGAGATCAACCAAAGGACTTGTATGCATGCATCTAAGCCTAACCAATGGACACAGACAACAGGGGGGTGAGGGCAGAAAGGGGGGGGGGGGGGCAATGACCTTAATCAATAAAGAAATTTTTTAAAAATTTGATATATAGGAGCCAAAGGATATTCTTTATCTCATGATGATTGAGATTTGGAAGGAATACATTTCTGATATTTTAATTAGTATCTAGTATTGGGAAACATAACACCAGGTTTGAAAAACCACTGCAATACCTACCAGCTAAATAACCTTGGGTAAGTTTGCCCTTGTCCATTCATCTATAAAATCTCATAATCTATCTAGGTAGGTAGGAAGACAGACAGACAGACAGACAAACAGATAGATAGATAGATAGATAGATAGATAGATAGATAGATAGATAGATAGATAGATGTAGATATAGATATATAAAGCTAATATGCAAAGTGTCCCCTCTGAAGTTTAACCTGGAGAGCAGGAGTTCAACTGCTTGCTATAATGTGCACTGACCACCAGGGGGCAACATGGAACAAAGGAAGGCCCTGACTGGCAGCTGGGGAAGGAAGGCCCCAGTTGGCCCTTGTCACTGGCCAGGCCTATGGATCCTACCCGTGCACAAATTTTGGGCACTGGGCATCTAGGGGTATAATAATAGTATCTACTTCATAGGATTGTTGTAAGAATTAAATTAGATAAAAGTACTTGGTTCTTGGCACATAGTAATATTGAATATAAATGTCAGCTGTTATCATAGTGCCTATTTCATCTTGCATTGTCATTTGGTTTGATGGTGAGTACGATTTGATTTCAGGATCCTGAAGTAAAGGTTTATTTATAATACTTTGGAAAGCATGTTTCTAGACATACATTTTTTTTTATTTCCTCAACTTGCTTATTGTGCACAGTGTATAATACTTAAGGATATAATCCTTGAGTATTCTATTTCAGATTCATAGGAACCTGATAATACCAAGGATTTGCAAAAGATTTTTTTCATCCTCTACTTTTATTTGGCTGAAGGGAGGTTTTTCTGTTGGCTTGGTTTAACTTACAAATCAGAACATTGAAACCAAGGAACCATTATCCTGATGCCTTTGCTGTATAAGATTAAACCTCTTTAAAAAAAAAAAAAAAGTTTCAGCTGAAACCGGTTTGGCTCAGTGGATAGAGCGTTGGTCTGCGGACTGAAAGGTCCCATGTTCGATTCGGGTTAAGGGCATGTACATCCCCAGTAGGGGTTGTGCAGGAGGCAGCTGATCAATGTTTCTCTCTCATGGACGTTTCTAGCTCTCTATCCCTCTCCCTTCCTTTCTGTGGAAAATCAATAAAATATATTTTTAAAAAATAAATTAAAAAGTTTCAGGGAATTGGTGCTTAATGTAGAAAATGGAAATAATTTATTACCCACCATCTTGATTTTAGTAATTCTGCCTATTCTGAGCTTATTATGTGCTGTAGAAATTTGTCATGGCTTAATTTTATTTGCCAGTAGCAAAAGCTTATCAAAGATGAGATCATTTTATAGCTTCACACTCATGAAAAGGGCATTATCTAATTATTCCAGAGAGCAGGTGAGTGAGCGTTGGGTTATGCCTGCCAGCTCTGGTAATCTACAGCCTCTCCTATCAGTGCAGCAGCCTGTGGTGAGCCACTGCCATGAACATGGAACAGATCCCTTTAGACAAAAGGATGAGACCCATTCATGTAGAAAGCATCTTAATCAGTGGCTGGTTGTCTTGTGGACTTCTTTGTTTTCCAGCTGCTTTATTATAGAAGGACTAGGGGTGCATGAAATTCATGCATGGGGGTCCCTCAGCCCGACCTGCACCCTCTCCAATCTGGGAGCCCTCAGGGGATGTCCTACGGAGGGCTTAGGCCTGCTCCCCGTGGTTCTCTCTCTCTGTGGACCTGCCTGCTTGATGCCACTGCAGGCCCTGGTGTCTGCTCTCTGTGGCGGCCTGCTTGCTCTTAGCCGCCAGAGCCAGGGGCAAGCAGGGCCCTGCTTTCTGCTCGCTTGCTTGCTGCAGGGGACGTTCCCACCCTGCCCCTGGCGGCTTGCGTGTGCTGGCTCAGAACACCTGGGTCCTAGGAATGTTCCTGCCCCCAGCTGCTCCACACCTGTGCGCGTAAGTCTGGAGTGGCTGGGGGGTCATTCCAGGACCCCAACCGCTCCTGGCCTATGCGCAGGCCTACAGGCTCAGAGCAGCCTGGCTTCTGAGGATTCCTGTCCCCAATGCAGGCTGCTTGGTGCTGGCGCACGTGTAAGTGGCTGCAGGGTGAGAACATCCACCACGTTGCCATGGCAATGTGGCAGCTGTTCCTTCCCTTTCCCCGAATGCTCCACACCTGTGTGCGTAGACCTGGAGTGGCTGGGAGTTGTTCCGGGACTCCTGCTGCTCCGGGCCTACGTGTGGACCTACAGGCTCAGAGTGGCCTGGCTCCTGAGGACACCTGTCCCTGGGATGCAGGCTGCTTGGTGTTGGTGTGCACGCAAGTGGCCACCCCACCCCCAGCTACTCTGCGCCTGTGTATGCAAATTAACCCGCCATCTTTGTTGGGTTAATTTGCATACTCCTGATTGGCTGGTGGACATCCCAGAGGTATGGTCAATTTGCATATTTCTCATTACTTTAGATGTAATCCTCCTTTTTTAATTTCTAAACTAGTGGCCCAGTGCACAGATTCATGCACATTGAAAAGAAATTAATTAGAAGAAATATTTTAATATTGCTATTCACCCTTTCTCTATAATAGAAGTGTCAACCAAATTCATGATCAACAATGACAGATGGAAACATGCATGCAATTGGCGCCAGCAAGAACTTTATATATATAGCTAAACTTGCTTAATTAGACCTGCTTTCTGATTTAGCTAAACTTTTTCCAGCCCAGTGAAGCACCTCAACTTCTCTTTCAGGTAATTGTCAGTAACACAGCAGTAAATATCAACACAAAGCAGATTGTTATTGTAGATCACACAGGGAGAACAAAGGGTGAAATATTTAACTAGAAGTTTGACTATATTCTGCGCAGTGAGAAAATCTGAAGTCATTTTCAAGTTCCACCATTTCTTCTTTTCAGTTGGTCAAATTCTAAACTTTCTAAGTCTCTATTTTCTGGCTAATGAAGAGAAAATAGGATTCCAATGAGTCTCCTATCTATTCACTCCAGGAATTCTGTGAGGATCAAATGAGATGAGGCACATAAAAACACTTCACAGATATTTGGTTAAAGTGTAAAATGTTTGCACCTGACTATAAAGCAAGTCATGTTCCTGGGCTGAAGACACTCCAAGGATGCTAGTTGCTAGGGGAGGAAGCTGGGCGTTGCTATCTGATGTCATTACCCGGCGCCCACAGCTACCGATTCAGGGTTGGGCTGGGTTGTGGGCCACATTTTGCTCCATGGGGTCTCGGCAGTGTTGGCTGCAATTTGGTGGGATGTTGCTCCAGGGTGGTGGTGGGGCATGTGTCCCACTTGGAGGAAGCCTAGTGTTGGACTGTTGGCACCTGGTCTGCGGTGTCATTTCTTTGTAAATGGCCAGTGCATGTTATAGCAGCTCCTGCATTAAGCATCTGCCCTCTGATGGTGGTGTGCATCATAGTGACCGGTTGAATGGCCGGAGGAACACTTAACATTAGCCTTTTATATATATATATAAACTAGTGCCCCAGTGCACGGATTTGTGCACATGGAAAGGAAATTAGAGGTGGTTGGTGGGGCGAGACTGAGTGAGACAGGCCAGACATACCCTGGAACCAACCTCTTGTGGCCACTCCCTGGCCAGCTACACTGGGGTATCGCTGCAGCTCAAAAGGCGTCTGTGGAGTGAGTGGGATCCCCTGGAAGATGGGGTCCCTTGGCCTGGCCTGTGGGGATCGGGCTGAAACTAGCTCTCTGTCACCCTCTGAGGGGTCCCGGATTGCCAGAGGGTGGTTCGCAGGTGATGAATGCTGGAACAGGGTTCCCTCCTCTCTGGTTCCCGAATGCATCACCTGAGAAGCACTGCTGCCAAGGCACCACAGCTCGGCAGCTCCTGCGCTGAGTATCTGCCTCCTGGTAGTCCATGTGAGTCATAGCTACCGGTCGGACAGTCGCTTAACCTTTCATACATAAAAGATCTACAGCAAATTTCAGAGAGTACAATGAATACAGTATTCCCTTTATCTAAATTGACTTATTGTTGACATTTTCCCATGTATGCTTTATAAACAGGGT